TACCATTTTAATCAAAGAGCATGTGAGTAGCTCAATCAGATTATCGTTAGGAGTAGCATAAGGAGTAGGACTAAGTGTTCCAAGCGCACTGCCATTAGGTTGGGAGGATTTGGGAGTTCTAACAATTTCTTGATGAGCATGTTTATCATAAGATTGACTCTGAGGGGATCTAGGACGGGGTTGCTGAGGAAGAGATTTATTGTAGACAACAGATGGCGACCTATGAGAGGATGAAGAATGTTCATAAACCGGGGATTGTTGTGAAGGGAGAGGGCAGTAGGCATTAGAAGAAGAAGGGACATTACATGGGACCCAAGAAGGGACGGGTGAATTTTTGGGAGAGGAGCAGATTACATCAGCAAAAGATAATTTGGAAATGGGAAAGCGGCGTCGTGATGCTTCAGTATAACTAACATTCTCTTGGGACATTACATGTTTGATATTTTTCTGGCGCAAATGTTCTGGACAGATAGGCTCTGTGGCTTTATGATGGCCTCTGCACAAGAGACAAACAGGATCAGGTACTGTACAGGAGTCCCCAGGGTGTTGTTGAGCACACTTAAAACATCTAGGCTTAGATCGACATTGAGGACATGGCCAAATCTGCAGCAGTTATGGCATTGTATGGTAGGGAGTTGGTATATGGAGACTGGGAGAGAAGCATGGAAACAATAAACTTTATGTGGGAGAGTTTGACCTAGGAAGGTCAACACGACTGTTGTGGATGGTTCCCAAGTTGGTCTAACATTATTGTTTTGCCGATTTTTCACATTTAACCTTCTAGCTCTTATGACAGGATCACAATTTGGAGGGCATTGTATCCCAGAAACCAGTTCTTCAAGGGACCACTCCAAGGGTATTTGGCGGACAACACCCATTCGAGAAACCATTAACTTTGGGACCTCTGCATTGAAATTATTTTTTTGTAATATAGAATTCTCAATAAAGGAATTGGCTTCTACGTAATTTTCAAATTGAACAGAAATTTTATTTCGGCCTAATACCTTGATGCCATCACACACAATACCAGAAGTCTTGTTTTTATGTAGTAGCTGTGCAAAATTAAGTAGTTTAATAGAGAGCCCTTCAGAAGGATGAGCTTCCATACGAGACACGTGGACAGTGAAGGGACCTTGATTAAATTCAGCATACCTAATTTTTTTGTCAGGCTCAAAACCGGGTCTAGTGTAAGTATCCTGAATTGAAGCAGCGGGAGTAACGTTTTTTTTTGGATATACTAGCGATTTCTAAGTCTGCTGGTCTTTTATGAGGACGACTAGGGGTGATAAACTCGGCAGTTATAGGCGCCATGTCTATATCAGAGGATGTGTTTCCTCCTCCACTAGGGAGAGGATCATCATCTCCTGCATCACACATCCTTCTTGTTAAGCGATTACATATAAGACACTTACCAAATTAAATAAACCCACAACCACAAGAACCAACAACAATATGGATACACAACTGAAATAACTAAATCAAACTTCCAAGAAAAATATCACTAAAGCACGTGTCAACGTCCGAATCCTTCCGAGCTCGCCGACCAAGTCCTTATGAGTTGTTTACGTATTTCGGTTGTGTTTATAGGAAACCGTCTGTCGGGTCCGCTAGTGAAATATGAACATAAACACCTAGGTACTAGAAAATCACTATATGTAATCACTTTTTCTATTCGTGGGAGTTTTTACTCCCATAGGATAGATCGTTGGCACACTATGAACCAATGACATCAAGTTATATCATAATCCATAAATTGTTATAAATAGTATTTATAATAAATATGTTGAATTCTCTTTAATAAATTTAAAGAGAATTCAACATACTTATTATTTAAATTTTTTATAGTGCTAATCAGTGGCTAGAGTGGCGAATGCCGAAGACGTGGATTCGATTCCTACAGCGGCGACAATCTTTTCGTACTTTTTCTACAAATTTTAATATTTATTATTTACTATACTTTACGATATTATTGCTAAAAAAAATAAAAGTGTCACAAAATGTAAAATTATTTCATGTTGTGATTTATGTATTTCAGTCTACTTAGCCACGTAGAAACAACATTTTCCAAGAAACCAATTAAAAAAACTGATAATAATTCATCGTAAACTCCGAGCCAAAAAATACTATCAGCCATGTCATTATAAAAATTATGGCTGAACAGAACTAGAATTTCGCCTAAATTATATTTAGGTGCGTAAAGTTATAAAATATACGTAAAATACTACACCGTTACTAATTTACACAAATAAGTACTACATATTTTTAGTAAAAATACGTTTTATTCCAATGCGAGGCTCTACAGGAGACTATTTATGTACATAATATTTTAACTGATCAGTGAGGTAACGAGAAGCACACGTTAAACGGTGGGCTCTCTACTCTAAGATTTTCATGGGGAGCGGTATTTACTGTCTGATTAGTCACATGTTATAAAAAAGGTCGGCCATAACTGTCGAGTGAGCGATGTCAGATGAGGGAGGTGCTCGATTGGAGGCCGCGGTAGCGGAAGGAGAGTAGCCCACCCGCCTTCGAGCTAAACCGACTACAAAAGGCAAAATTGGCTGGAAAGGGAAGAGAAAGTTCCCAATGAATACTTTCCATTGGTTATATATATTTTTTAATTGGTACTTCAGGTAGTAATATAAATAAATACAGCACCCAAAGCTTCTTTTCTCATAGTGTAATGTTTATATTTTTGCTATCATTTTTTAAATGCTGTGACTAGAACATTATGCACAAATAATCTCCATTCGACCGACATACCTATTCGAAAATAGTGAAGTGAATTAAAATCAAATAAAGCATGCCTTGGCGACAATTAGTATTAAATTATACTATAGGCAAAGTGGTAGATAACAAACACTTTTCAAGCAGTATATGTCTACACTGCAATGTCTGAAAATTTAAAACCGCCCGATAAGAAACGCATGAAACACGTAACACAATCTCTTAATCTTTTGTCAATATTGTCTTCATTATAAGGCGATGAGATGACGAACTGCCTATTATAACAGACACATTCGGGAACAGGCTCGTTTACGGAAAATCTTTGTAATTAGTCTTTTCTTTTGCTGAGTAAAGTTGATATAATGGCCGCGAAAAAGGACAATGATTTTTGTGAGTATCGTGATAATATTTCGAAAAAGTCTCGTTTAAAAACGTCTTCCTTTATCTAATGGCACACTTTAAATGTAATATTCCATCAATAATGTGCTGTGATTCGAACTTATAAAGTTTATTATTCAATTCTATTGAAAACTATTTTATAAAAGCAATTGAGGTGTGCCTTTAAATATAAATATTAGTGACGCGTGAAGTCTAGTACAAATCTCATAAGGAAAATATTAAAACATTATATTTTATGAACAATTTTAAAGATTATGGAGTTTAAAATGTAAGTTCCTTAAAATTTAATGGCCTAAAAGTATTTTAAGCCATTAGTAGTAATTTTTGTTTTAATTTTCAGTGTAAAGGATGGAGTAAAAATACAGTGCGAATAACAGAAATAACACTGTGATTACGATACGATTATTAATGAGGGGAAAGACTAAATTACTTTATGAAGTGATATTTCTTTAGGGCACATTTGGAAATACGGATCAAAGTGTATTTTGACGTGTCAAAAAAGTTGCGCTCGCAAATGTAATGCTTGTTTTTTGACTTTTTACCGTCTGGTTGAAAGAGTGTGAATGAGTCTATTTGATATTTTTTGTAGTATTTATTACGGTCTCTCCGGTTGTTTGGTAAGTTAATAATTGTTTGAATGCAAAAAAAAATATGAAGTTCATAATGCCAACAAGTATAAGTCCTTACGTGTGTACAGTGTACATAAGTACTCACATTGTTTTTTTAAATAATATTATGCAACCAGGATTTTGTATTTTTCACTTAAGTTTAAACTTTGCAACACCACTTGCATCGTCTTTGCGCTGCAAATGTATATAAATAAGCAGAATTATTTTTAATCTCCTCTCCCCTTGAATTTGAAAGTTATATATAGTACAGTAATTTGAGAAAATTTTACCAGTGACGATAGACAAACAAAATATGAACCATATAGGTACATGCCGACCCTTCCTGTGTAGTCTATCTGATCTCAATGCAATCAAACATCCATCTTAATCGGTTCAGCAGTTTCGGTGATTGTCCAATTTTAGATGATAATGTTATTTGAGCATTCCATAATTCAAAAAAATATTAATATAAAATATTAATGTTTTTTTTGAATTATCGAATGCTTTGACAAGAAATAACCAGAAAAATATCAATTCAAATATTATTTTTTTTCCCGTTAAGAGTGGTCACCCTAGCGGTTTAATTATTTTGCGTTCAGCGAAAAGTTTTAGTGCTCGTCAATAGGTCATGTATTGAGACGGTAAGGCAGGAATTTCTTAAGGTGTCCATAATGTTTGAAAAAATTTAAAATAAGCTTTGTAAAAAAAGATTAGGTCGCAAGTATATTATCAGATTCAGATTTAGAATCAAATGAGTGGTCTATAAAATCATGCTGTATAAGACAATATATTATATATAAAAATTACAACGTAATTAATTTATTTTACGGAGAAATATTTTGGTTAATATTGCAAGTAATATTATATGAGTATTATAAACATTATTTTATGGTAAGTAGTCGTCAAAAATCATAGATATTTATTGTAAGCAACGTCTTTCTGAGGACGCTTAATTCAGTTTGGACTTTAAACTCATGGAGGATATTCCGTGCCATAAATGGGTTTACTCGTCCAGGTAAACAAAACTTTCTCGCAGAAGACCAGTGCTAAGGTGTCTATACTTTTTGTCTGGTAAGAAAGATAAGGATACTCTTAATTTATAGGCAACTGTAATCTAAGGGTATTGTGAATATAATTCGACAATTTCTCTATTAAACTCTCATTTAAATTTTATCTTGAGCGCAGATTAGCAATAATAAAAATAATAATAAAAACTACATGAAACATATTGTAATACCTATATATATTTTTTTCTATAATTCACAGATCTACGTACAGCTTTTGGACTGTTGGACCGCGACAGCGACGGCCACGTGACTGCCGCTGAGCTACAGTTTATGCTACGCAACCTCGGCATTCAGGTCAGCGACGACCTAATCTCAGACCTCATAAAGGATGCCAGTAAGACTGGTGAGTCTTTGAAATTTTTTAATTTTTAATTATTTTTTGTCAATCCACACAAGACCCGCGCGTTGTCTATGCACCAAAACCCTAAATACGGAAGGCCTTTGCCTGACTCAATAATTTATGTTTAAATCTAGGGTTGTGGTTTTCTGTAGTACTTATTTTTATATTTTTTAAAGCTGCGTGTATAGCTTTTGGAAAGTGGGAATGGTAGCGTTTCTAGTAACTAATTGTATATTAACAAAATATCGTTTGTCATGGTTCCCTAAAGTGATAAGAAATTCAATGTGCAGTTATATATCGTGGCTTTATAAATTATTCTCCTTTTCTGCAATCCCTTCAGAAAAGTATGCAGCTTGAACTCATGACAAAATTTTTTTGACCAAATTAAATGTTCTAATTACAACAATGTGTCTTGTGAGTGGTTATTAATAACATGCTCAAAACATAAACACTCATACGACAAAGACAAAATAAGATTAGTAACCAAAATACACGTCCTTGCTTGCATATCTATCTGCGAAGTGAACGTCGCAGCTGAGTCTTGATTTGATATTCTGCCAAAAACATACTCGACTTTTACTCATATAAGTCAAAGCTGTTTCAGTATACAAATTCGCGGCCAAAATATTTGTTTGAATTGAACGTTGCCCTAAAATTACCGTCCTTGGGACGGAATTAGCATTGTTTTCTCAACGCTCAGTTTCGAATTCTTACCGAAAAACATACGAATACTCATGTACTTTGATGGTGTTAAAAGTTAGAGGAAAGTTCTGTTGAATCGATGGAAATAATGTCTATAGACTAGTGAGGGGTGCGACAGAGAGGGGTGTGTTGGCGTGCAGGCGTGGGCCGATTGCTTCCGGTGACCTCGCACCTTCCCAAGGTCACTTTGCTACCCGTTCCTATCAGCGTGGGGCTCTGATTGCTACACAGCTATCCGCTAATAATATAGGGGTGCCACGTGTAAACTGCATGTGAAGCAATGTCGATCACAACTAAAAATAATATTATGTATTTAAAATCATTTTACATATTTAGATAGACTTGCAATAGTTTTTAACATGCATTAAAGATATTTCTTATCTTAGGTACAAACCAAACTGAGTTATGCGAATTCAGAAATGATATAAATCATTTTTAACTTTTAGGCTTTCGGTCTATTTGTAAGAATTATTTTGCACTGCATGTAAAGAGTGAGATAATCCGAAGCCCTCTTACAGGTTGGGAATATGTATGTAACGCCTATAGTGTGGCGTGTGTTCATTGGCGGAAGTTATTACTTACTAGCACTTTATAAGGTCACTCCATGGAGTGTGAAGGATTAGGAGACAGGTGTAGTAGAAATTATATATGTTTTAGCGTTATTAGATATAATAGTAATAGACTAAAACTGCAAGGAAATGAGAAGAATATGAATGAGCTCGTTTTTGCAAAGTTAGAAACTAAGAGTTGCTAAAGGTTAAATAGCATCGTACGATGCCAAGCTATTAAACATCTTCAAAACTTAGTTTACTTTACTGAAGGTAAGTACATGTATCAAATTTATTTAATTTGTTATAATTAAAAGCTTGTAAGAATTCATAGAACGGATATCTATGAAAATTTGATAAAAGTAAAACTTATAAGACATTACATCAACGGAATTTTAGTTTATTCTGTTTTATAGACATAATATCTTCGTTTTTCTTTTCTGTGCCTCAATAACATACAGAATGATGCTATGCACATCGCATTGGATAATGAAACACCACAAGTATTGTCGTCGTCGTGTACCAGCTACGTTGTTCTCCTGAGGTCTCGGGTCGTCTGCCTGCCGAAGCTGTCAAAGCATAACTGTGGCTAACAGCAAATTACACACCACAATAAAATCACTCTGTATACATTTGTTTCTTCTCTGTATACATTTTGTTCGAGTCCAATTTCAGCAAAGAAATTATTATGGGATCACATGGAAGCTGAAGCAAACCCAATGCAAAAAGAATTTTCAAAATCTGTTCATAAACGACGAAGTTGTGAGGTAACAAACCTAAAATAAAAAACCGAATTGAGAACGTCCTCCTTTTTGAAATCGGCTGCAAATAGTTCTCACGATTGCTTTTATAAGGCGCAGATTTAAATGATATTTATAATATTTTTACTGAAATAGTGGCAATATTGGATAACTACCTGCTGGCGAATATTGCCAACTGCGCATTATACACTTAACCTTACATGATTTCTATACGATAAATCGATCCCACGCTTGGATACAATGTCATTATGTCAGCGACATTGAAAAACCATGACCAGCTATGATACACTATATTTGCAAAACCATTAATAGCCTACATAAATTTCCCTTTGTTAGGAAATTCATAAAAGGTCCCACAATTATAAAGGAAGTCATAGATATTTGGTTCATTTTGTTTAAAGATGTCTGCGGTTACCTCATTCGTATCTCGTTTCTATGTTTCCTTACGCCAAGACTAATATTATACATTCCCCTATAAATTTTACTTATTACCTATTTTTTAACGGTGGCAAGCCTTTTACGTCAGCTATTTTGGGACGGCATGAAGGGGCGTCAGGATCGTAAAAGTCCGCATAAATTTTAAATATCATTTTAGGCGAGTTACGAGACGCTTACGACGGCATACCATAAGAGAAAAATCATGTGTTGCAATAGGTAAGGTTACAGCATGATTATAAAAAATCTCAAAATTCTATCTAGAAGGGATTTTATTAGCATTAGAGTTTTATTTGACTTCTTAGTTCTTCGTAGCAACGAAGATTTCTTAACTGTGCAAAATAATTAAAACATTGTAATTCATTGTAATTGTAAAAACGAATTCGATAAGAAAGTTTTGAACTTGAAGACCGAAGTCTGAAATTTTATTATAGAAGTGTAGGTAATCACTTTATCGCGTGCGATGCAAATTGATTTCTATGTTTAAGTTCTATAATTCCAATTAGACTGCGTAGTAGACTCTATACTATATCAAGCACTTCATCAACTATACTCCGACACACGAGCTTGCGACGTCTACGAAATTACGTAAACTTTCTAAGCGGTATCATTCTGCAGAAATCTAAAAAAGTCGAGTAATTCAGAGCGACTGTAGGTCTTCATAGTTCCAAAAATAATAGTTTAAAACAACTAAAAACAGTAAGTAGAAAATAGTATCCAATAAATATTATTTATTTTCTATTTTTAGGTACATGTTCTTTATTTTTAAACATTTATATTTATTTTAAACATTACATTGTATCAGATTTGGAAAATAGCTAATCCTGAAGGTCCTGATCAGGATAATGGGAAAAACTATTTAAATTATTGCATTGTCTTTGACGAGTGTGCAAAGTTCTATTATATCTAAAATCTGATCGTTCAAAGTGGGGCGAAATCACGTTTAAAGATTCCGTTCATAGATACATACATACATACATACATATAGGTGAATTTATTATAAGCGTGTTAAAAACTTCGTAGTCTTTTTTCTAATGTCGTATTTTCCTCCTTGTTATTACGTCAAGAATTAGAAAAAGTAAGAAATATAACAAGGATAGTCTATAATATTGAATGTTGACGTCAACCATATCCACCGACACCGACAGTTTTCATGTCACTATCTAAAGATGGCGTAATGGCGTTTGAGTCGCATTGGTCAACCCATCCTTCCTTAATTCCTTGTCTACGTACTATATTTAATTTTGTAAACAATCTGTGAGGCTTGTCAATAAGTGTTTTATTCCTTTATGAATTTTGTGAAGGCACTTAACGTACAATCTATTTATAATGATTGTTGGTGTGGTGTATAATGTATGTGGTGCTGTTTCCTAAAACATTAAAAAATAGACCATTAGGATTGAGGAAACTAACTGGTAAATGGAGCACTTACCGGTTCGTGTTTGAATTGAATAATGTTACATTTTGTTTTTTTTTTTTTTCAGGTAATGGTCTCATAGACGAAAATGAGTTTATGCAGTGGGTGACGAAGATACAAGCGCTACAGGGTATGGACGTGAGCTCGAGCGGGGGCGATTCCGAGGAGGAGATCACGAGGGACCTGCTCGCGGCCTTCAAGTAAGATTTCGCTAGTATTATCTTATCTACTGCTTGATCGTCCGTCGTTTCAAGGCACTTGTGGACGGCATTATCGTTTTTTTTTTCGACAGAAAACAATCTATTTATCTGTTATTTAAACACAAAATCTATCATTGTAACTTATCCAGTGCAATAAATGCGTAGTAGACTGGACTAGATTTTATTACCTTTAATGTATTTCTGTAGATTGTTCTTATGAAAAATTAAAAAAGCACGGTATTTTAGCCCACAATACGTTTCATGATTTTGCCGAAACTAATGGACATTTAAAATCCTTTGATGTTCCGTGCAACCATATTCGTAAAAGCATTTGATGTTCTTTATAAGCATAAAATGGACATTCCAAAACATTGCTCATGATTATGGCTGCTTTAAATGGACCCTGTATAGCTCTTTAAAATCCTATCGTCCACTACTTCAACAGGGTGTTCGACCGCGACGACAACGGCTATATAACGCGCGACGAATTGCGCTCAGCGCTCGAGATGATAGGCGAGCCTGTCACCGACGCCCAGCTCAACCAAGTTCTGGCGCTCGGCGACATTGATCACGACGGACGCATAGACTACGAAGGTGCGATATCATATAGCCGATGGCATTCGCTTAGAGGCCACACAACTAGTCAAGTGCATTGGGATTCCGTGTTGGTCCCCATAGATGCCAACAAATTTTTGTGATTTTCGAATTCATTTCGAAATTATAATTTATGAAATGCGTAAATTTAAAATTTTTAAATCTCTATTACGTACGGTGGTAGAGCCACGCAGCAGCCTCGGCTGCTGCACGAATGGGCAGGCTCGTCCGGGTAAGTACCACCACCTCCCAGAAGACCGGCGTAAAGTGGAAGTATGACAAATACTTTCGCGTTTCGTCTGGTGAGTGCGGTAGCCGGAGCCCAATTTCCAAAAAAGTTGTCAACGCATCTGCAAACCCTCGGGTGTAGCAGATGTCTATGGGCGGCGGTATTCACTTAACATCAGGTGAACCGTCTGCTCGTTTGGCAACTTTTCACATAAAAAAAAATCTATTGACAATTGAAATTTCGTTTTTGAAATTTCGTATTGAAATTTCGTAGACTTTATTGACGTAGTTGAGAGCGAATCTGTCTTTAGCGCAAGAGGGTATGGGTTCGATTCCCATTACTGGTAAAATATTCTGTGATGAAGATAGTGTTTTTTCCAGGGCCTGGGTCTTTTAATTTACAAAATAAAAGTATGTTTATAAGCAGTAACTTTGATAAAAAAACAATTAAATAAAGTTCATGTTTATTTGTATATTGTGCCAATATTATTTTAAGTAGGTATATCCAGTATGGAAGATTTGCTATATAAATAAATAGATCAATATTTCAGGACACAACTTTTTCTAGCCCCAAACTAAGCCACGCTTACTACTATATACGTTACTACTTATATACCCGTATACAAGTAGTAACGTATATAGTAGTAAGGCATAGTGTAAGTCTCCTGTATTAGGTATAGTAGGTATTAGGTGTAGTAGATCTTCATTTTCTTTAAATAATTTATTAAGCATCTTCAGACACGCACTGTTCTTTTCTATGGGAGAAAGAGGGTGAGGAACAAGCGGTTCGCCTCATGTTAAATGATCAACTCTGGCCAATGATATCCAAATAACTGGAGAGGTTGCTGCAGCTTTGGCAACTATTTAGAGAGCGGGCATCGATTACCGTGCAAGACTATAAATGCGAAAATATGATACTTCTACTTCAGGCCGGTCTTTTGTAGGGCCTTGATACTTCCGCGGCCAAGTCTGCCCACTTGTATCATAACAGAAGGTTGAGATAGACAGACAAACCGGTGAATGATCCTAAAAGGATTCGTTTATTGGTCAGATGCACGCAACCCTAATTTTATTTTATTGAAAAAAAAAGAAACATTGCCCTTTGGGATAACACTATCCTACGTTGTTAGGACGTTTTTACAAACATAAATTTCTACACACAAATAGTTCTCGTGTGGGAATCGAGCCCACGACCCCCGAATCGAAGGTATCTTGGCGATTGCGCCACGGAGTGATCAAAATGGATGAGTTTTGTCTTTATAATTAAAATGTTTATTATGACTGACGTATAATATTTTTTACATTTCAGAATTCGTGAAAATGCTACTATAGAATGTACCTCATAGAGCAAGAAAGACCTCATTAGATATAATGTTTAATAAAATAAAATTGATAGCAATAAATTGCTGTCATGTGGATATGTTGTATATTTGTGGAAGTTGCATTATCAATGGTATTATTAAGATAAAGTCGAAGGAAATGTATGCTCTTCCATAGAGACTTATAAAGATAATATCTGTTTGTAGATTTTATGATGTTTTTAATCATATAACTCTATGCAGGTCTTCGTACGCGAGACTTGCGACAACGAATCTTTACATTTGCAAGTTTATCATGGCTTTTAACTTTACTTAGCGTGTAGGATTAATTTAATTTTGGCCTATAGACGTCCATTGATTAACAAGTTTTTTAATTCACCAAACGGTCGCCCCGTTCGTTGAATTAAAATTGAGTCGCTTATTATGTTTAGTAATAAAGTTTATTATGTTTGTAAAAGAAATTACTGTAATGATAAAGTCCGTAAAATGACGTCTAATTTACACCAAGTATGTTGCATATATTTACTGTAATTTTTAGCTGTTGGGTGTATAAGATAGGCGGAAAAATAATTTTTACTAGGTAGGTGGGAGACTTTTTTTAAAAAGTATACTATGTCCAAGACTCTTTATATAAGTTACATGACAATCTTGCTTTATTTATTAGTTATATAAAAATGGATGGACTATGCCCTACAACTTTAAAAATATATTCATATCTAATATGTAATGTTACAAATCTCCATAAATTATGTCTCGTACCTATCTAAGCAAATATATCATAAAATGTTATTGTAATTTTATGGTTGTGAACGAAAACTTATATTAGAAATTTTGTAAATATTTAATTGCTTCCAGTGCATTTCCTTTTAAAAATTTCCTTCCAACCCGAAAGTGATCGTAGGTGCCGTCCTACGTCAAATTTTATACCTGCATTCAATGAACTGTTTTCAAATATTTGTATTATTTTATAAATACAGAAATACTTAGTGAAATATTTTTGTACGAATAAAGTGTTTTAGAGCATCTACATCTATGGTTTTATAACGAAAAATAACAAATAGTACGTTTTAATAAACTGTTTTATGTATTTTCATTAACGTACATTTTATAAAAAATATCGCAAATGTAATTTTAAACTCAAACAATATCAGCCTTTAAAAGGCATGTGATGTGGATGATCGTGATCAATAAAAATATGAATAATTTTTTATCTTTGTTATAATTTTCCTCGCTGCATTTAATCCAGACCTGCTAAAAATTTCCCGATGAAACCGGTAGGCTTTGGTTCGGCAGATGGGTTCCAATTAGCCATTACGTGGCCCTTTTGTTGCCACTGGTGGGTTATTTCTTTCAGCTCCATGAAACCCTTATAAGAGAAAATTTACACTATTTTTGAATCACCCCGACCTAGGCTCCAGAAGGCGAGCTCAAAATAGAAATTGTCAACAAAAAACACAAGCGATATCTCTGGTGATGACGAAGCCCATCACTTACCACTGATGAGCCGCCATTTTGCTGTTCAAATAGGAATGATCAATAAAGAACTTTGTTGTTTAGAGATCAACTACAATACTATAAATAATAAAAAAATTGCTAAGTACCTTAATTACTAAAATATCAATAACTCGAATATCTGTAACGCAAGCGTTTTTGTAGAATTGTTCCCTTAATTTGCATCGGCAATCTTGTTCGGATTTCGGAATATCAAAATATTTTACTGTAAAGAAAACGCGTATTAGGGTATGGTGCATGATAGATATTTTAAGTATATAAAATTATTTATGTCATTACTGTTGCGTTAATATAATTCTGAGACAGTCAACTAATATTTTACATTGAGTATTTGAACGAGATATGTTGCCTTTTCTTTCTTAAATTTAGTGCTAATTGTCACTCAAGACAAAATTGAAATGTAAGCTGGATTCGAATGTGCGGTTTTTGGTTAACGCGCCCAGATGCTCTAGCAAAAGGATTACCAAAGCGAACTTCATGCCCTTTGGCATTCTCTGCCAGTCAACCCGTAATCCAAAATTATTAGAAACTTGTCGGGATTTTAAGGCCGTGAGTATATCGGTCGCTCAGGTTATTTGGTCACAACGTCTGTGTTCGCTACTCAGAAGTAGGTTAAAAAGGTAAGGATTTTAAAATTTGAAAATTTTCAGCGCACCCAGGAGGGTGAAAATTTTTCTATAGTTTATCTATTCTATTACTCACATTTAAATCAGTTACTTGTATTTTTGAAAAAGTAGTTAACGCCGATTTTATACCACGCTGTTCCTAAGTTCTTTGTAAATAGAGCATTAAACGCCGATCCCGCGTTTCACCTTGTCATATTATTTTGTTATAACCGTTGCGGAAACAAGCAGAAACGGATGAAAAAAAAAGAGTGCGGAACTTCCACAGTTGCGGTAACGGCAACAAAGATCTGTGGTATCACTAAATATTTGGGCACAGGCACATATTTACGTAAGTTTATAAATCTTATAGCTTATAGACATATTTTTAAAGGTAGATTAAAGCCCGCAGTCGTTTAAATATTCAACTAGGACCTAAAGGGAAAATCTTTCAACTCATTGAGTGAAAATCCGCGCGTAAATCGTGTGATTATATTCCTATAAATTAATATTCCTACTCTCGTCCTGTATTTACTGAATTATAGTGCACTTACTTATGTAAGGAATGTATCGATAAAAAGCCTTATACAAAGCCCTGACACGTCTTTTCGCTTCAGTGGCATTGGTGGACATAACAGGTCTCGCACTTTTTACAAACGCCGTAATAGTTTCCTTCGTGGCCATTATTTTTTTCCAGCAGCGTTAGTTTAATATTATTATTATAGACCGTAATCGCCAATATTTTTTACTGTTTACATAAACGTATTAGTAAGTTCGTATACTCTTATTACATTTAGTCAAATATTTGATATGTATATGACAATCTTTTTGACGTGGATAATCTATAATTTAAAAATGTAAATTAAAACCTAAAACCTTTTTGCATAAACTTACAAATTTTATTGCTGATATAAGTTGCTCATTAAAATCAGCATCATCCTAAAGATACACTGTTGAAGCTACTGTCCCCATTAAAACACCACAATGAAAGAAAGAAACTTCTTTTGTTGCCCGCGACTTCAGACATAAGCCCGCTTAGTTTGAGGCCTACCAACGCTACATTCTCCGGTTTATATAGTCCGAGAAGACCGTTCGAGAACTTTGAGATTGCAATAAACAAAAAAAAAGCAAATTGTACCAATAAACTCTCCGCGTTTTTCAAAGTGCAACAGGTAAAACTCATTGTCGACAAGCAGCATTTTTAGTGTTTTTTTTTTTTGGCTGGATGAGCCACTGTTGGCCTTAGGGGCCTTTACAGTTCCGACGGGCTTGAGGTGGCCTGGCGCACGAGGCACCTAGCCTGAACCTCGGCGTACTATTATTACGCGTTATGGTGACTAAGCTCGAGGGCTCCTGGGGGAGCCTCGGCTCGGGCCGTCACGCTATTATTATTACCGGTTTGGGAGGCCGCCAAGCTCTTAGGGCGCTTTGGCGGGCGCTCCATGGAGTGATCAGGCTCAAGGGTCCCCGAGAGGGGACCTCGGCTTGGGCTGTCACTCAGCACGCGTTTAGCATTCCGATTCGAGGGTGCCCGAGAGGGCCGGACCTCGGCTCGATTGGTAGCTATTATCTGACTGGGGGAATTACTAGAGCTAACATTACTACCACTTCGGAGAGCGTTGGCGCTGGGAGAAGAAGTGGCGGAAGAAACTCCAGCAACGCTTCTATCATTAATAGGGGAAAACCTGCCAGGTACGTGGCGGAACCTAGTATATGTTTGCCGCACTCGCCGGCGAGTGCGGTGTGTGTTGGTGTGTTTCTTGAGTTTTTTGATCTTTTCGATGGCGAAAGTCGTCTCATCGTCAGGGAAGTCGAGAACATGACGCGGTCTTCGGTAATCGCGGCGGAAAATATTCAGCGGCAAGGGCCTGTAGGTGACGGCACCTACGGACGAAATATCGGCGCGACGCCGACTTCAGGAATTGCGCGATGGTGGGCAATTCTAGATCGACATGTAGGTCGATATTGCGCATGAACCAGGGTGCTCCCGTGGCTCTGCGCAAGAATCGATTTTGAATCACCTGAAGCCGGTGTATTTGCTTCGGAGCAATGTGAGCGAAGACGGGGCTCGCGTACGTCATGATAGGGCGAACTACTGCCTTATATAAGGTCACCTTGTTCCGAAGGGACATTTTTGACGTTTTATTGAGGAGCGGGTAGAGGCGACCGAGTACGAAGGCCGCCCGGTTCCTGACCTGGGTCACGTGCTGGGTGAATTTAAGCTGGGAGTCGAGGACGACGCCTAGATATTTGACTTTATTAACCCATGGTACTGGGCTGTCCAAGAGTTTAACGGGGGGTGGTATGGGTATGTTCTTTTTGTGCGCGAAAAGGACTGCCGCGCTTTTGGCGGGATTGATTTCGATCCTCCATTGCCGAAACCAGTCACCGATGGTGATGGCCGCAGCTTGGAGGCGTCGATGGATCAATTCGGGTGTTCTGCCTGTGGTATAGATATAGGTGTCGTCGGCAAAAAGAGCAAGTTCTACATATTTGACACGCGGCATGTCATTGGTGTAGAGAGTGAACAAGACTGGGCCCAACACCGACCCTTGGGGCACCCCGGCTCGAACGGGATGCGTAGTCGAACACACGCCCTCGACGCGATAGCGAAAGGTTCGATTACTTAGGAAGTCTCGTATTATGCATACGAGACGGTCGGACACTATTTTTAGTGGTATTATTACATACATATACAGCCGTACACCGTCAAATTGCATAGGCAGGAGCCTTGGACTAAAAATCTTCACAGGAGTACTAATAGTTACTTAGAAAGTGTGATTCGGAAGCTACTATTAAATTAAATTTATTCAGCAAGGTCGTGGATAACGAGGCTGTTAGGTTTTTATAGTTAAATATCACTAATTATGAAGTTAGTTCATTAACCGCGTTATTAAAAAATGATGAGTGAAATTGTAATACAAATGTCACATCTAAACCGCTAGACCGCTAGATGGCAGCATATTCTCAATCACATTCGCCAATACAGTTCTCATTAAAGAATGTAGATGGCGCATCCATAATTTTGTTCTACTTTTGAACATTTGTATGCTTAAGTATATTATATCTATATAAAATCGAAATCACTGTTTTGCTAAGGTCAGTTTCGAAACGATGTTTTGATTTTATCATTCAACTTGTTTTTCTTTTGTTACGCCAAATAAGTATATCTTCTTACGTGCGTACATAAGTACACACAAACTTTTTTAAAATAATTACGTAAGTACGTTTAATACACGGTCTTGTCAGTCCATACATTTGATGAATTGTATGGAGCTTACTCCATTCCGTTTAGTTCCATCAATCAAAAACAGATGTCGTTGTTTCTTACATCCAGCAATTTATCTTTATATTGTATCCAATTACAGTTTTCTATACAATATTATCAAATATAAATTACATATCTTTCGTGTAAATCAAATAGAAAACTGTAGTTTAATACAGCTCTCAAATGTAAAAACTGGAAAATGTTAAAAGTATAGCTATAAATTTTAAAGTTTTTTATAGTGCTAATCTCTGCACTTAAGATTGAACATTAAAACATGTAGAAAAAGTACGAAAAGATTGTCGCCGCTGTGGGAATCGAACCCACGTCTTCGGCATTCGTCAATCTCGTACAATCTCTTCGGCAATCTTTTCGTACTTTTTCTACATGTTTTAGTATAGCTATAGTCAAAAGATGGCGCGGTCTCATAAGGACACAACTCTATTCTCAGTATTAATAATGTACTCTTTGGTTAAATATAATGTTGAGCTGAAGCAATACTGCAGCTTCTGCTATTGTCTGATAAGGTTCTATCACGGAAGTGACCCAAAATGAAGTAGAAGGTTCTGTTTTGCATTTTGTCTGGTAAAGAATGTGACCAAGGCCCATAACCATAAAGGACCACATGGTTTAAGTAATACTAATACTAATAAGTACTAATACTTTGTAATTAATTTTTTAACAATATGTTTAATATTACAAATTTTAATAAAAGCATTTTTAGCTTAAACTATGAACATTGAAATGTCTGAAAATAGTTGACCATATTTTCAAAACCTATTTAAAATCTCTAGTACAAGTCAAATGACCTTATACAATTATTCAAGTGACTCAAGTTACTCAAGTCATTAAATCTTGCTCAGGTTTCTAATTTTTTTTTATTATCTTCACCTTCATCGATTTTAATTGAGACTTTTGATTGAGATTGATCTATCTCCACAGACAGGTGTCCTAAAGACATTATTTTAATCTCTCATTTAAAATTTCAGAAATTACAAGACTAGTTTACAGTAATATACATACCATGCAATGCAGAAATAAAAGGTTTATATGTTAATTAACAGCAATCTATTGCATAGTTCTATTTTGTAACACTGATTTAGGATGTAAATAACATTATTTTATTCGTTGCCAGAGAAGAACTTGGAAAGAAAATCTTTTGGTTTAGGTTCTTCAGTTGGTTTGAAATATGCCATTATATGTCCCTTCTGTTTCCATATGTTAACTGTTTCTTTGAGTTCCATTTGACCCTAAAAAAATTGTTTTAAATATTCATTAATAATACACTGATCTCAAGAAAAATAGGATGAAAGAACCCATACAATTTTAAATTACAAACATTGGTGACACTGATAAAAACAATGTTAACTGTAATAATTTAAAAAACAGAAAAATATGTTTATTTTAAATGAACATTAAACAGAGTACAATTCAATATCTGTAATCTGTAGAAGTTAAACAAGTTAGTAAATTAATATGGCCGTTTAATTTAAACCTATCTAAGTACAAAATTTAGTTGTAACCTGGTTACATATATAATGTATGTTTATAATAAGTATTAACTTTACATTATAATTACCTTAATAACCAGCATATCGATAACCCTAATATCAGTGACATTTTTGTTATTTACAAAAATTTCTTTGAGTTTAGCTCGGCACTGTTCCTCAGATTTTGGTATATCATATTCTTTTACTGAAATTAATAAAAATTTTACATTCAAATTATAATTGAGTTATTCTGTGGTATTTTTATTTTATTTAAAAAGGTTTATCAACAATTGTTTATGCAGGATACTTCTTAAAGCTAGCAGTTAATAACTTAAGATTAAACACATATTAGTGTAATAATTACTTAAAGATTAACACCAAATGCAGAAATAAAACTATTCAATTAAATAACTTAGACTAAATTTAACAGTAGCCTGTGTGTGGGAGTCAATATAATAACTTTCTAAAAATAAGTTGATGATAATAATATTGATTTTGAATAATTAGATAAAGAGCTATTTGTATTTTTGCAATTAAGAGATATTGTTAGCAATTTTATAAAATCAAATTTAGAAATACAGTAAAGGAAGGAACTTAAATGAAAATTATGCTCAAAAATTAAAGACGTAAATAAATTGATGTTTAGAGATAAGCTAAATTATAGTAAAATTTAATATAGTAAGAAAAATAATAAATCAGTGATGACATAACACTGTACAAACCTACGTATGGAATTTGACGATACCATGCTTTATAAAGGCTTAAAACCCTTGCTCTTGCTTCTTGAGCATTAATAGAAAGCACTGGTTTAACAAGTTTAGTGCCGACTTTTATGGCTTGACGCGATGCCATTTTTTTAAATAACTTAGCTAAAATTCAAAATTCAATATAATCCTACTGCTGTTTTGACAAGTAGTACTGTCAAAAGTGTCAAAACTGACTGAAAAATCTGACAATCAGTGTTGCTAACAATGCAGGCCCTCATATCGCCATTTTTCCCAGCGTAGCCTAATATTTTTCAGCTACTGTAACCCTAAATAGCCCTAACACCAATATGTATATAGCGCGATTTAAATCTACTTGTTTATCTATCTACTATAAAAGCTTATAGCTTAGCAATATAAGCTTAGTTGGTAGCAGTATATAATAATAATAAATAAAAAGCCTTTTTATTTCATGCAATTGAAACGTTATTTAACATTGAGTGAGTAAAAAGTATTTTTTTTTTACATAAAAAGTCTAAAAGAAAAGTTTTTAACAATGTATAGATTAAAGACTTCTATTGCGTGAACCCTCTTTAGGTGAAGGCCTCCTCCAACAATTTCCACTTGTCTCTTCATTTGGCAGTTTTTCTCTAATGTCGTCCCGCCACCTTCTTTATATCATCTTCCCATCGTGTGTATCGTCTTTTTCCTTGGGGGCCAATCCACGAGGTTACTGTGGATGTACATCTTTCGTCTTCTAAGCGTGCTATATGGCCAGCCCATCTAAATTTTTATTTTTGAGCATATTTTAGTGCATCTATAGCTTTAGTTACTTTCCTGATTTTGGTTTGCCGGATTTTTTGCATTTTCTTTATTTTTAACATGCTACGTTCCATACTTCTCTGACAAGTCGTTATTTTGTTTTTTACTTTTTTTGTAAATTTCCACTTGGTAGCAGTAACTTTACATAAAATAGCGAAAAATTATTTAGATTCAGTTTCGTCTACCAGCGATAAAGAGGCACCAACAAGGTTTTCGCCGTCAACATCAGTGGTAGCTGATGTAGCTATACTAAGCAATAGCTATAGCTTTTGCCAGTATTAGTATGATAGCCCAATGCTTGAGGAAGGTATTATGGTATTTAACATCACGCTATGAAATACGGGGGTGAGGCAGAAACGTTTCTCGCAGATGAAATCGCATGTAGTAGCTAGTTAAATAATTCTTCTAATTAAATTGTTACATATTAATATTTTAGTTCTACTTTGTGTAAAACTTTTGAATTTTCAAACGATAAATCCAAGTCTTTGTTTAATAAAAGCTTATACAGTCGCTTATGCAGGCTTATACAGTACATGGGGTAGAAATACATTTATTTTTAGTAGAACCCAAATGTCAGTTAAGGAACCAGTGTCTTGTAAAGGCATATGATTACTGTAGCATCTTGATGGAAATTATTTTATTTTGTAAAATTTTCTCTATGGTAGGGCCACACAGCAGTCTTTGCTGCGGCACAAATAGGCAGGCTGGTCCGGGGAAGTACCAAGACGTGAGTGTTATACCTCTGAGTTTCGTCTGGTGAGTGACGTAGTCGGAACCACTTTATTAAAAGGTGGTAACGCATCTGTAACCCTACGGGTGTTGCAAAGTGACGGTTATCACTTATCATCAGGCGAACCACTATCTTCTCTCTTCACTCGCTTCTCGTATAAAAAAACTTTTAGGAAATTATTTTAAATAATTATCTTTGTTTTATTAAAAATTTCCATATATATGTATGGTCTTGATAAGAAATGTTTAAATATAAATTAAGTCTTTGGAAAGAAACACAAACGGCACATAAATATTTCTTTATTGACGTCAAATATGTTTTCACAATAGGCTTTTTGTTTATTAAATACATTTAACGTTAAGCAGTAAGCCGACTTTTCGATAAACACAATAAATCGTTATTACTTACACTACATTACTTTATAACCATAATTAACTGTTTTATTTTCAAAATTAGGATAGTTTAATATTATCTTATTAAAGGACATGTCTTTGCCCCATGTTTTTTGGTTATCTCAGCACTGTATGGGTTTATAAGGAATGTGTCCTTCATTCGCCCAGGCATATATGTGAAAAAAATGTCACTGTAAGATGAAAGTGGGAAATTAGTTTCTTGCCATGACAATCTGTGCGATAACAGAGATATATAAATATATATATTTACATAAATGCTTTGCTGGGGTAAGCATTGTATTTTGTAGTAGACCACCATAGTCTCGTTTGTTCAAGTTGCTTCAATCGATTTCTTGTTACAAAATCATTTAGCAATATCTCAAACTGAAATATAAAAATAAAAATAAAAATGCATGGAAACCAAAAGAAATTGGATAAAAACCTAAATGCGTGGGTATTTAATAATATATAAATCTATATTGTATATAAAATTATAAAAGTCTGCCGTGGTACGGGCATCAAGGAAAAACTACTGTATAAATTTCAATTAATTCTTTTTAGTTTTATTTCTTATTTTATTATTTCATACTACAAAGGTAACAAAGCTTCTTTTGAAGAACATTTCTTCAATCGAATAACCATCACAAAGCCCAGGCTTGTGTCCGATCAAAATAATATTACAGTAGATAATGAAAAAAGTTTTACGCAAAAATATCAAGGTTGATGAGTGATATAAAATCTAAGCTAGCTAATTGTGGAGACTGTTTGTTGCATCCATTCCACAATGTACTGGAAAGCAACATGGTAGAAGAATTTTAAAAAATTATAGGCTAGCTGCTAGGCGAATATTTTTTTGGTTTGTGAAAAACATTGAATATTTTTAAAATAAATATAAGAATAGTCCAAAGCTATATTTTTTATTTTACAAGTTTATCTACATTTACACATATTTTTATTGCCTGATATATTAAAATTTGTTTCCATGATATAATTATATCCATTAGTCTATTCTAATTATACGAACTATTATGATCCAATGGGAAATATCAATATAATTATTAAATAATAAAATTAATCAAGAATGTATTTAATTGCAATTAACAGTAAAGTAATTGTAAAATTAAAGTAAATTGTATAATTTACAGTTAATTGCGCTTGGTTTTTGAAGGGCCGTTGTATTTTCCCGGAGAAGAAAGTATTATCACCCTTTCCACTGGTAAGAGAGGTAACCGGGGCCCGAACTTTTAAAGTTTTTAAGGTAACTGCATCTCCTAAGTCTTGTATGCCCACACATCACATACCTAGTTACGTTACGGTAAAATAGAATTTGATTTACCAGTTTTTGAACTAAATGCCGGTGAGACCAACTCATGTTGTTCAACTGTTTTAGCGTGAACGGTATTCTATATGCGCGCGCTCGGAAGTCCATGTGCTTAAGATGGAGCCATCTTCGTTGTGATTGTAATAAAAGTCGCTCTGTAAAAGAAATATGTATTCGTCAACCACTTTGACCACATTCGGTTTTGACTTCGTCCATTATCATACAATAAGTTCGAAATAGAAGGACTACCCAAAACCAAATCAAAACAAGCCTAGAGTAATTATTTTGTAGTTCGTTAACAATATTTTCTCTCAAAATTTTTATCCAATACAAGCATGATTTCCTTCCAAGCCGCCTTAAAGTTCAGTGCAAAGAAACGTTCAACCTGGCGAAAAATTTACGAATGTAAATTTTTCCTTACTATGCATAGATGGGGGTATATTTCCTTTAACTCGTCTCCGAACCCATTCCTGTAGATTATTTAACAAATTTGCCTGTGGCAGATGTGGGATTATAAGTGGCGTATCGGACAATTCGGCTAAAAGGGCCTGTAAGATATAGAAATAGGATTAGAGTTACAGTATATATATAGCAAGGAGCCTTGGTTTTAACATATACGCACATTTAACATGTACGTACATTTAACATATACATCGACAGTGGGTCGACCACGCAACAACTTGTGCCTTTGCAGGAAAGTCCGTTTATAAAAATCGAGAAATAAGCATGGTAGACTCCTGCCGTCAGACCAGCACAGTACCACGGCCTAACAGTAGAGGGTAAAGCGGAAGCAATATATTTTTGCGTTTATCTGATGAGTGGGTTAAGGCCGGTGCCCATACTTTAAAGGTTTGCAGTTGCACGTACACGCAATTTAGATTTAGTTTAGATTCTTTAGATGTTCATGGGCGGCGGTAAACACGTAAACATTGTCCAATCATTTATTTCCTTTTTGCTTCGCACTTTTTTGAGAAGTGCCCAAATTTACACAGGAGATTCAGACTCAGTAGTATAATCGTTTATTGAAATAAAAAACAAAGTTTTTTTCCCAAATAAAATGCCATTCTATTCCCTAAAAAGCAGAACGTGTTGACAATGCGGTAGTCATTCATAAATACCTAAATTTTACTGTGCACGAACTTGTGTGCGTGTTAGTAACGAATGATCGCGCGTAAAATAAATGAGTTGCGTATAAATGACGCACTTTTGGAAATAAGTACAAATGAATGTTATATTTATAAATAATTTAATTTTAATATTTGACACCAAATAGAAAGCCAACGTAATCTAACTACAAGTTGCACAATATTTTTATAAGAAGAATTAAATTTAAAATATGTAAGTAATCCCAAATTTAATCATGTTTATGGTATAGTTTTTATTTTTTAAAAATAACTTACCGCCAGAAGCTCCTTTTCCTTTAATCCGGACGGCAATAAAGTGGGTGCGGACGTTGAAGGCTGATGAAAAAATGTAAATATATAAATATTTCAGAACATATTTCTACACAAAATTATCTAGCCCCAAAACTAAGCAAAGCTTGTACTGTGGATACTAGATTACTGATAAACATACTTAAACATACTTCTATTTTGTAAATAATTACATAATCTTTATATATATAATTCTCTTGTACATTTGTATGTCACTGAACTCCTTCTAAACGGCTGGACGGATTTTAATGAAATTTTTTGTGTGACCTCAGGTCGATTCAAGAATGGTTTAGATTAACAATTCGGTGCACATTTTTTTATTTATTTATAAGTTGTTGTCGGATTTAAGTCAATGTGTACAGGACAATGTATGTCAGGTCCGCTAGTATTAATATATATTATTTACCACACAATATTTTTCCAGTATTGGGGATCGAAGTCACATTCTCTGGCGCAAATGAGTCCAATATTACCAATTGGGTAATATTGGACGCATCGGATCGCATACCAATTGGGTCGCAAAATGATTCGTAGAAATGAATAATAATACAACAGTAGAAGTAGTCGTTGAATGGTAGTTACGGTGCCAGAAAATGGATTGATGGCATGAAACATCGTTATTATCGATAATGAGAAGAGGAATATTATAATTATATATAATTTTTACCCCCGAATCGGATGATATAAGAGCTTCCTGGAATGTATCCCTAATAAAGTCCTCCATCGGATCCATTTGATATATTTTAGCGTAGTCCAACCAAAATGGACCTTGTTTTGTGGGCGGGTAGAAATACTTTTCTTTCAGTTTATCATCTTGGTAAAAATCATAAAGATGACCGCATTTACACTTGGATTCCTTAAGATATTCCATTATTCTGTTGTCCCTTCAATTAAAACGAGGAATATGAATAAAAAAGACTAACAGTTTATCTTGTGTCACTAAAAATAGTTGTACCATTTTTCTAAGCAGTCACACGTTTCGTCACATTCCTCTTTCACTTCCCTTGGGAATTTCCAATAGCCGATTATATTACAAAATATTTCACCACCATATTGGACAACTCCACCATTAATAGGTATATATCCAGTTGGTAACAAAGCAACATCTAAAAGAGTAAAGTCATCATTAAATATACGAAGTAACATTACGGTGGATGGCCGCTAGTAGCGTGGTGTAATGGTAAATTTAAAACCTTTAGACTTTTTAATAATAAATTGATAACAATTTAATGTTTATTTCTTGATAAGAACATTAATATTTTTTTTGCATGTCTTTTGGTCGTAAAAGTCGTTGCTTTCAGATTAGGACATGGCGTTAACAATATAATAATCAATTTGCTTAAACACCAGAGTTTTATCCATTAAAATAAAGATAATTACTTAAATGTAACTTGAAAATATAGTTGTTCCTATAAACTCTATGGAATAAACTGAATGGTAATAATCAAAATGATAAAAGAGCACGCAAAGATGGCAAAACATGAGATGTGCTTACTATTAAGAAGGAAGTGGGGACGACCGCCACAAAACACAACAGCCCCGACTTGATACTGAGCATTATCGTACGGCGCACTGTACTTTGGTTTCGCTTTCTTCTTTAACATTTTCAATTTATTTAAATATGCAACTAACTTTGGATCACTGTTTCCTGTGATAGAAAAGAGTAACAAAATAGAGTAGAGCAATTATTCAATTATATCATGACTTTCAATTTATTTAATTATTTAACAATATTGTAAAAAAAAGTAAAGTAAAGTAACAGCCAATACATGTCCCACTGCTGGGCAAAGGCCTCCAGAGGGTATCAGGGCATAGTCCACCACGCGGCCCCACTGCGGATTGGCGGACTTCACATATTTTCGAAATATATATTTTTTTGTTATTATTTCGAAAATATGCAGGTATCCTCACGATATTTTCCTTCACCGCGGAGCACGTGATAAGTCAGCACTTAAAATTAAAAACTTCATTGGTGCCGGCACCGGGGATCGAACTCAGGTTGCTCGAGTATATTGAATTAAAAGCGAGCGCCCGGACACTGAGCTATCACGGCTCTGTAACAATATTGTAACTAAAACTATTTAATGGATTATCGTATTATCTATGTAGATAGTTATAATGCAAAAAACTGACATAACGGCAGCAGAAACATAAATAAAAATAAAAATATGAAAAAAATAAATTGTACCCTAGACCGCTTCGACAATGCTACACCCTGTCATTAAATTCCGACTAAATGTCCTATATTATGTATAGTACCCGGAGGACCGAGCTTCGCTCGGTTTGTTTTTTTTTTGGTAAATCGTGTGTTTTGGAAATCACATTTAGATACAAATTACTGAGTAATGAAATGTGCGTAACATTTTTCGATCTTACCGACCTAATAATAAGAAAATATAAAGTTTAAAAAAAAGGGGAAAAAGTAACAAAATAACAAATCGACAAAAAAATTAAAAATAAAGAAAGCAATGATCTGGAATCGAACAAAAAGTTTTAAAAAAGACTGTGTAAATGACCGTGATACGAACCCCGGCCGTCTGTTTTGGGGCCGCTCGATTACCGACCGAGCTATTATAACATTTGCTTTTGCGGCGAAATTTACTGTCATATTGATATTTTTCATTCCCTGAAAACAGGGATAAAAGGACATTTTCTAAAAATGACACCTAGCTAGATCGTTTTTTCGCCCCCGAATCTACGCACATACTAAATTTCATGAAAATCGCTGGAGCCGATTCCGAGATTCCGATTATATATATATATATATATATATATATATATATATATATATATATACAAGAATTGCTCGTTTAAAGGATAAGATAAAAGTTGCAGAAACAGAAGTAGACGCGGATGTAAAAAGGTCCAAAACTTCCAACTGCGCAAAAGCAGAAGTAACTTGTTGCATCACTACTGCACTTATTGTAGTAATGTAGGATCGTTGGTAACTTAAAAATCAAATTTAAGTGATAAAATTCGTAAAATAATTTTATTTACAATAAAATATTGACGTTAATCAAAGATATCCTTATTGATATAATTGAAAGTCAAAATAACTTCATAACGTACGTAATGTACACGGTGCCTCCCAAAATTTATAAGTACAGATTCGTTCCCTTGGCTTCTCTTTCTTGTTTCTTTCTTTTCGTTTTTCCAGCTGTAATTCACCAACGTACAGTTAGAAGGTCCGGCAGAAACACTAGCCGTATATTCATTATTTTTCAATAAAAAAAATAGATATTCCAGTTAGATTACTTGATGTGATACAACTAAAATTACCATTTCCTCAAATCTAAATAGAGTCGTTTTGATTTCTACTTAATTCCTTAGATCATTCTAGGTCACTTAGATTATCCCTGAAAAAGTCTAAAAACAATACTTTTCTATATGCCTGTACAAAAGATTCGTAATAATACTTAAAAGTTAATTTGAACTTTAATACCATACCATAAAGTTTAAGTGTTAGTGGAGGGGTTCCGGGAAGGCAACACAATTAAGTGGCGTTAGCAGCCCCGGATCTAGAGGGGGCGGGGGTTAGCCGGGGCCCATGCCCCGGGCGGCAAGTTCAGAGGGCGGCAAATTCACATTTTACAGACGAATGGACAACTCATAATTTAATCAACTTTTCCCTAACAACTCCACCAATCGACCCAGAGCGCGAAGTGAGACGTGCTGCACGAAAATTATTATTCGCGAGGCGCTGTCTATCTCTTGCAACAGATTTATGCGCATGATTTGTAAGATGCTTTTCCTAATATTAGGTCTTTACATATGAAATTAGCATTTTGTCATACTGACCACTTTGATCAGAAACATCTCCTCGTTGGTTAAGACTTCCAAATTCACCTGAGGGTTCCAGATGTATTGACAACCATTTGAAAATTGGGCTCTGGCCACCACACTCACCAGACGAAACGCGAAAGTATTATACTTCCACTTTACGCCGGTCTTCTGTGAGGTCATGGTACTTACCCAGACGAGTCTGCCCATTCGTGCAACAGCCGAGGCTGCTGCGTGGCCCTACCACCGTTGTTCGATCGAATCATTACTTGTGATGAAAAATGGATACTGTACGATAATCGGAAGAGCTTGTTACAATGGCTGAACCCTGAAGACCCAGCCCGATCGAAAGCCAGCTAAACGAAAATTGACTCAGAAAAAGTTACTTGTGATTGTTTGGTGGACTAGCGCTGGTGTCGTTCACTACAGCTTTGTAAAATCTGGCCAAACGATTAAGTACAGCAGATATTTATTGTCAGCAACTGCAAACTATGAAGGAAGAAATAGCTCCTAAACAACCGAGATTGGTCAATCGCTCTAGGCCACTACTGCTTCATGACAACGCAAGACCACAGACTGCTCAAAAAACAACCACTAAGTTAGAAGAGCTACAATTGGAATGTCTGCATCCACCGTACTCCCCGGACCTTGCTCCAACAGATTACCATTTTATCCGGAGTTTGGACAACTTCTTACAAGGAAAAAAATACAACTACGATGCGGCAGTCCTAACCGCCTTCAAAGAGTTTATTGATTCTCGCCGCCCATGATTTTAGTAAAGGGATCAATGAACTACCTATGACATGGCAAAAGTGCATAAATAACCACGGTGCATACTTTGATTAATTAAATATATTTTACAAAAAAAAAAATTACTTTATATTCCTCCCGTACACAACGCCAGTTTCATATGTACGGACCGAATATTTGTATTGCCCTGCGAATTTACTCTACGCTTCCCACTACAGCTAAAAGCTGTGAGCGAAGTTTTAGGAAACTAAAACTAATTAAAAATTATTTGTGATCTTCTATGAGTTAGGAAGGCTTATCGAGTCTTGCAATCTTAGCGAAAGAAAATCGAAGTGCACACGAGTTAAATTATGACAAGGTATAGATTTATTTGCTGAACAAAAAGCTCGAAGAATAAAATTGTAATTTCAATTCACAAATGCAATAATATATTTGATTTTCATTTTCTGTGCTGTGTATAAAATATAATTATATCCTACACGTTTATGTCTATATATCTGTAAATAAGTTGGCTTAATACACACGGAAAAAAGAAAACAGGAACGCTTATAGTTTGAAATAAATAAATTTAACTGGGGCTTCGAACGCCAAAGTGGAAAAATTGCATTGTCACATAGTATATTTTACATTTCTGTAAAACTAACAGTTTTAAAATGTAAGATTCAGAGTTTAAACTGTCAGATTTACAGAATTTGTCAACTTTCTTTGAAACTGTAATTTTTCCCTTTTCGCGTTTACCACGTTACTATTTCAAACTATAAAAATTCCTGTTTTCTTTTTTCCGTGCAAAAAAAAACAGCAAATTTCCGGAAGGCTTATGTAGGCTTTCTTCAAATCTCAATCAATTAGTGGACATCTGATAGATGAAATTATGCAGGGTGGCTTTTCTAAGTGTATCCAATTTTTTTTTATTAAATTCTAGACATAAATAATGCTATATAAAAATGATAAATAATATTTATTATTTTAAATCTTTAAATAAAAATTTGAACTTATTTCAAAAAGTGTGTGATTTATGGGCAACTCATTTATTTTACGTGCTATCATTCATAACTAACATGCACACAAGTTCGTTTCAAAAGTATACGACGCATTTATGAATGACTACAGCATTGTCAAGAAGTTCTGTTTTTTAGGGAATTTTTTGAAAAAAAAAAGTTTGCTTTTATTTCAATAAACGATTATACGCCTCCTGTGTCAATTTAGGCATCTTTAGAAAACCTACCCTATATAGATGATAAAGGTAAAAATAAATATAAGTGGGCGTGGTCGGTATTTCTCAATCCAACTCCCTAGCTAAAAAAATTGAAGATCCGGGGCAGGACGTTAGTATCGTATAAATATTATTGTCAATATTTGTCATTTTGTAATATTTTTTTACTAGATAGAGTGATTTAAGAGGAAGCTTTATATGTATAATACATTGCACCCGTGCTAAGCCGGGGCGGGTCGCTAGTTAGTTATATAAATATTATAAATATAAACGTCGTGTTCATTATGATTTTTGAAGTTATACTTCTTTAGGCGCGTTATAAAAAATGATGAGAGTGAAATTTTAAGATAATAATCGCCCTTTACAGTTCTTAATAAAGAATGTAGATGGCGCTTTCACAATTTTTAATATTTATATACTTTTCCAGTCTTTTTATTATTTTATTGAAATTAATTATTTGCATGCAATTAAAAACAATTTTTAATGATTCGAAAGAAGCATAACTTCGCACGTGCGTACATAAGTATACGCACCCATTTTTTTAAAGCCTGTCTAAACCTAAGGTCTTCCCCGATTCACACTATATGAAAACTATCACACCTCATTAAATAAATATCAATTTAACTTCGAGAGATGAATGAATAATACTTATGTAGTACTTACGAACTGTTTATCTTCGCATAGTTTTTCGTAACTCTGAGATAACGCATTTGGAACATACAACAGAAAAGGTAAGGTTTAGAAAAAAGCCAAGAACATACATTTTTAAGTAATGTGTAAATTTGTTTGTCTCCTCATTTTTAAACTTATCCTAGCCGAAGCCGGCCACGCTTCGCTGCAGCTTTTGTTTTGGTTAATTTTTAACTTCAACCTAAGAGTATGTCAATAATAAACTGTGGCAGGTTCGTCCGGGTAAGTACCACAACCTCGCAGAAGACCGGCGTGAAGTGGAAGTGTTATACTTCTGCGTTTCGTCTGGTGACATGGACGTAGCTGGGGCCCACTTTCATAAAAGGTAGCAACGCATCTGCAACGCTACAGGTGTAGCAAATGTCAATGGGCGGATGTTATCATTTAACATCAGGTGATCCGCCTGCTGCTAGTTTGCCACCTTTTCACATGAAAAAACTCTCCTATTCAATAGGTTGAACAAACATCAAGTCAATCGATCTCACGGATTATAATAAATTGTCCTATAAATACTTTTCATAATAAAAATGACTGATAGAAGAATTGTTGATTATTTATAAATACAATAAATAATACTCACTGATTGGTTTCGCAGCTTGACTTTATTTCCAAGGGGCAAAGGTTTACTTTTCTGTTTCATCTCAGAATACTTACTGTATGGTGGAACGTAATTTTTTTGTAGATAATCACCGTATCTTACATCTGGTTTAAAATTCTTAGGACTTTCTATAAAATAATAAATGCATATATAAAGTTTTCGATAAAAACAGACAAAATTAAATAATGATGTATGTATGTAAATGTAAAGTAAAGTAACAGCCTATATAAATATGTCCAATTTCTGGCTAAAGGCCGGCTCTGTACAAAGGTATCAGGGCAAACGACGCCACTGCGGATTGGCGGGCTTCACATATCTTAGATTTTGTTTCTGTAATCCCACAATGTGGGTATTCTTTTGAAAAATTTTCAAGAAAATTGTATCTCTTTGTTCTCAAGTGCTTTCGCAAACATGGAATCAGAGCAGTATTACAGTATTGTGTGACAACAGAGACTAGCTAGCAGAACTACTTACAAAGTAGTTCCTGATGCACGAAATGGTAAGCCGGAGAAGTACTATGCTATGAAAGAAATTAGGCGTGAAGTAAAAGTATTAAGACATTTGCGTTTCAAGTGAGGTAACTGGAGACGCTACTGATTGTCCGTATGGTTGGGAACACAACTGTGACATCTTTTATATTGCGATGTTGTTGTGGATCTCTAACGTTTCCAGTAATAAGAAGTCAAAAGAGTAAAACACAAAGTAGGTATGCTCATACCCAGAAAAATCCATTTATAGCTGAAACATTATTTTCCCACGTGGGATGTGTGACCACTATACCCATTGCGTCACCCCTGCGGTATTCTAGACGCTATACGGAACAACTAAAATATATATGTATACAAACTTTTAGCTACGATTGGTTGTTCTTCTTTCTTTGATTCTGTTAATTTTTCCAAACTTTCGATACATTCCTTCAAATCGATAAATACCAAACTAGACATTAGAATCACTGCATTCATATCATATTCTGCGAAAAGAAATTAATATAATTGACAAATTTAAAACTAAACAATTATTTTTTGATTCCTTTATGGCGAAGAGAGATATTGACAATATTGAGAAACATTCGTATTACTCCTATTACGTGTGACTATACCATTCGCGTTTTTGTGTTCACTTTTTTGGGTTCGAGTACATAAAGTGAAGTTACTTCGTATTGTAACAAATAGATTTTTTACTGTTATAGGGCTAGGCAGCAGCTTCCACTGTTTCACGAATAGATTCATCAATGGAAGTGCCGTGGTCTCAAAGAGAACCAGCCTGAATTATTATACTTCTGCATTTCATCTGGTGAGTGAAGTTACCAAGGCCCATAGTCTTTTAATGGTGGCACAAAATTTCCCGAAAATCGGTCGAGCCGTTTCGGAGGAGTTCAATTACAAACACACGAGAATTTTATATATTAGAGATATACCCACCCAGACATTAGATTTAATAAATTTCATGATACAATAATGATTTAGTTGTGGGGATCGAACCCACGTAACAAATCCTCTGAGTCATCGTAAACGTCAACGTTAAACAAATCGTAATCATCCAGGTGAACCAGTTCTACAAAAAACAATCATATTCAAACGAATACTTGGAATATTTACCTCCACGTAATTGACTTGGTGGCATTTTATAATAATAAGTATAAAGATTCCAAATAAAAATTCCAGGGTCTTCTATAGATTCTGCCATAGCTTTCATCAACATGGATTTAGGGATTTTTAAGGTCACTCCAAGATCTGACAACGACTTTCTGGTCCGTTTCGGAATATCTTCTATCAGATCTTGGTGGATGTTTGATTTTAAATCGTACAAAACTTTTTTCTGTACCTCTGACAGTTCGCAATACCAAGTAGGTCCAACTTCAGATTGCAACCTTCTAAGATTTGTTTTCCCTTGAATACAAAAATGTCTCTGTTAAACCAATTGTGTGGCTATAATGTGATTTTTTATGTAGTCGTTTTAGATCAAAGGCTTCCACGGTTTTACTAATCTGGGCGATAACAAAAGGAAGCTATAAGCATGCCTTGTGTCGGATATAGATCCCTTTATGGCCAACCGCTCCCCTGGGAGAAAAAGGTCAAATACTTAGGAGTCACTTTCGACTCGCGTATGTTATTTACTACGCACATTAATAACGTTCGCAATAGAGCCGCGTTCGTCTCCGGCCGGCTATACAATTTAACTAACGTGAAAAGTAAAATGCTAAGGGCATTTTACTTTTCGCGCAAATTATTATTATAAAAAAGCACAAATTATTGTTACATAAGCCCTGCGTACGACATATTATGTCCTACGCATGCATGACCTTCGCCCACACGTACCCTGCTCGCTTTTACAAGTTGCAAATAGTACAAAATAAGTTCATCTGCCGCGCAACCGGAGCGCAGTGGTATCGGCGCAACGTCGACCCGCACAGCGATTGCAGACTCACGACGATTCGCGAATATTTTAAAGACCTGACCAAAGGGTTCTTCGATAGAGCCGAACATCATCCCAACGCTCTGGTGGTAAGTGCAGTAAATTACCAACCCGACACAAACGCGAACGTCAACAAGCGTCGCCCGCGAAACGTCCTCATCGACCCGGTCGAGGAAGGGGACTTAGATACGGCGGACCCACCGCCGGGGTCCCGCCGGTTAACACTACACCCACAGTTAGTGCAACAACAAACACACCAGTTCGCCCTCGCCTCCGAGCACGGCGAGACCAACACAACGCGTACACAAGGTACACCCGCATTCCGGGGCGGTTCTCACCGCTCCCAGCCACCGATTAGCTAATTGCACAGTCGACGGCCATCCGGGTTTCGGTCCGAACCGCGACCTCGATGGCCTTAGATGACACACCATAGTTAAACGCACGCATGAGCCCATGCGTGGCCCTACCCACAGCGGAGGGCCCAAACCCGTGGGTTCCGACTAGCCGACTAACGACTACCGGTTCTGCGTCAGATGAAGCTTTAATAGTCACGGGACTGAAAGCAAAAACATCAGTTAATACAAGATACAAGAGGATATAGATCATGGTCCCGCGGTTCACAAAGCTTTGAAAGCTAAGGGCAGAGAGAACAAAAGTGGTCAAACCACCTTATAGCCCTTCGTCAACTCGTCCATTTGTCCTGGGTTTTCACTTCCCTTCAGTGAATATTTATGCCAACTAAACACCTCTACCTCCTATTACAAACATTAAATTACGTATACTACACAATACTTGAAATGTGGAAAATACCTTCTTGGTATTGGAAATGTTTGAAGTCCCTCAAAAATTTTAACCATGTCCCGACTTTCTCGTTATATGGTTTGATATGAACGTTCTCTCGCATTTCTCGCTCCAAATAAATCCATACTGGATCCTTCTTAGCCCCGTAAATAGTCTATAAGGCAAGAAAACAACGCATAAAATATATTGTTCGAACTTTATGCCACTCTCCGTAACTATATCACTAAATGTCTTATAACAACGAACCATTCTTGCGTAGTTTATATTTAGTATGTACCTATCAATTCTTATGTATTTTATATTTAGTATATATATTTAGCTACTTTAGTATTCATATAGAATTGTGGATTCACATCTACACTCACAATATCCAGATTAAAAATTTACTTTTTTCCTAGAACATCTCTTCACTTTCAGAAACTATTAAAGCAAGTTGGGGCAGATTAATGCATAAATATTAAATAAAAATGTGATCATTGGAGAAAAACAGTCTTTATTTTACTTTCATTTAAGCGTATAAATAAACATTATATAATTGTAAGAGAAAATATTGTTTTAGTTGTGAAGTAAATTCAAGAATTACTTGTGTTATCAAAAAAAAAACAAGTAATTTTTGAAGTTATACTACTTTTGGCGCGTTAGGGAAAATGATGAGAGCAAATTTTTACGATGCGCGTGCACACCGTCACATAAAACCGATATCCTGAAGTTAGCTAGACATCAACGATGTTTGCGTGAGAACCGACAACTGTATTCATGATATTTAAACTTCATTTAACTAGATAATGCGGTATAATAAAACTTTCAATGTATTAAATACCTTTTTTATATTGTTAGTGTAGTTTTTTCTACAAACGTAGAATAAGGCGAAAGATAAAAATTTTGAAAAGATCTTTATCTTGTTTGCCAAATAAGTATAACTACTAACGCGTGTGTTGAATGCTCAAATCAAATAAGGATTTTTCCTTATTTCAGTAGCCTTCCTATTCTTGAGAGGAATCAGTGTTAATCAAATCTGATATAACGATTTTGTCTCTCTAAAATGTGATCACAAACTGAAGACTACCAACCATTTATCCTTTATAAGAGAGAACACATTCATAGTCAAGAGGTATAATAATATTTACGCGTAAATCACACAAGATATTATTAAATATTCGTACATGAAATTGTTTAATCCGTGCATTTCGTAAAATTTGGTTAATGCAAGTGTACCTAACTACACTAAGATATAACACTAAGGTGATCCATCTGTCTAATGGATTTGGTGTATTTTGAAGAGACTTTGGCCACCACATATTGAACTACAGTTTTCTGCATTTCAAATTTCAACACGATTACGAATACCATACTGCTTCGATGGATCGCAGCGTAAGATGGGTTATAATCTGCATTTAAATAGCACAAGGTTTAAGGTTCGGACTGTGACGTATGTGCCGTGGAGACGTCACAAAACGTGCTAGACGGAACAGTACCTTTTATTTTTTATTTAAACTGATGTTAACGCTTTCAGTCCCGAGACTATTAAAGCTTCATCGAACGCACGACGGAAAAGTACCGCGAGCTGCCTGCCATATTTCACGCTATGGTTGACAGAGGGTGAGGGGTACTGTTCTCACATATTATGTGGACTTTATCGGCCAATGGAGGCCACAGAGATACTCATATGAGTCCTGAATATCCACAGCCAGAGATCAGGACGCAGGAGGCTTGCCGACGCGCGCAACCTGCCCCTTAATAGTGAGATCCCAAGCGACAGGCATGAGGGTGTCTGCCGCTTAATAATATCTCGTGAGAGGTGAGAACCTTGAGAAGAGTAAGGCGATCAAGTCCAATTGCCATTCGGTTTACCACCGAAACAAAAAGTTTCCTCCATTCAAATTATTACGTGGGAAAGCAAGCCATGCCAAGACGAAGTACGAAATGTCGTGCCCGACTGCCCTTATGCAAAGCATACGTCTAGGTCCTTGGATGGCAAAAGAAAAATAATGAAGGTGTAATTATGCTAAATGTTTTTTAATGTTCCGTCACAATGTAACACGCTTTATTTATAAAAAATTGGGTATGTGATAAAAACGCAAAGGTTTAATACGAGTAATAGGCATGTAGTACCTACCTACTTACGTAGGCGAATATGGTTAATTATCGTAAAAGGTTGCAATGTATGTACGCATATAATAGATATTTTTCTTATCGGGTTTAAATTACTATTTTAAAATTTTAAGTTACTTTTTACTAACAAGAACATAATAAAAGGTTGTTTTTTAAAAAGTTTTTTTTCTTTTAATTTTATTATATGGTGAAGTAAATATTTTCGTAAATCTCGTGATTGCGTTAATGGTTTAGTTATTGAAAATTAATTTTAAATGATCTAATCGATGTAAGTACACCTCGTGAGTAACTTTAAATTTCAACCTTATTACTTTTCAATTTTATATATAACTAGCTGCTGCCCGCGACTACGTCTGCGTAGAGGAGTGAAAATTTTCGGTTTTATGTATTTTTGTATGCTGTGTCATAAAAAATAGAAACAAAAAGTTTTATATAAAAAATAAAAAAAAATTTTGGGGTGGACTACCCCCTTAACATTTAGGGGGACGAAAAATAGATAGTAGCCGATTCTCAGACCTACTGAATACGCATATAAAATTTGGTAAAAATCGGTCGAGCCGTTTCGGAGGAGTTCAAGTTCAAACCCCGTGACACGAGAATTTTATATATTAGATTTTATAAATATTTTATAAAATTTTATAAAAAGTATTTTGTGGTCGACGGCGGGGTTCGAATCTCTGAGAGGTCCATGGCCCGTATTTTGGTAAAAGCGGCTTTGTACACGGGGTAGGTATGGTACACAATGTAAGTTCGCGTGCCGTAAGCGCATGTGGAGCATCGGTAGATGTTCATCCTTTCGGCTTTGTTTACGCGGGGAAAATACATACGTATGTCTGACTAAAACACCCGCCTTGCCCACCTAGGACTCATATCGGCTGGATAACGGGAGCGTCTTCGCACATTTTCGCTACCCTTCCAGCGCCGGTCACCTCAATAGACCCTTCCCGGAGAGCAACACCCCTTTCCTCCAGTTAAGGCATGTTGGAACATTCAATGCACTTTCTTACTTGGCCACTTTTTCACGGGCAACGAACTTCCCCATGTAACTGACCAGAGGCCAAGGAAGCCAGGTGGGTCAATGTTTATAAACTGCAAGCTTCCCAGCTCCCAGTGGTGGACCTGGTCTGTGGCGCCGCCGCTCACTAGGTTTCGACAGTGTAGGGAGAAAGGCATGTCGCAATACCGACACTCTTTTCTCCCATGGCCTCATCACTACTACACCATTGCCGCTGGACGTCCGCAGAGTCGCGGACTTGCAAAGCAACCGAATGTATTACTCCTGTTCCCCCGCGATTCCACGTCGGTTGCAGAGTACAGGAAGAGTGTCTCCTTGTCTACCATCTTCAACACAAGTTGATAGATGCATGTTAGGACGGGACACCGTGACATCCAGAGTGGGCTCAACGAGTCCGCTTGGTGCGCCAGAATGAGTGCGCTAAGCCTTGCTTGAAATGCGAGTAAACAATGTAGATAAAAGACGTTGAGATTTTTGTCAGTGCAGTAAGCAGTTTAAGCGTCTGGGCGTGAATACCGAAGACGTGGGTTCGATTCCCACAGCAGCGAAAAAATTTTCGTATTTTCTACTAGTACCCAACAGGTAAAACGGCTCCCTATTACTAAGACTCCGCTGTCTGTCTGTCTGTCACCAGGCTGTCATGAACCGTGATAGTCAGACAGTTGTAATATTCACAGATAATGTAATTTCTGTTGTGGCTAAAACACAAATACCGTACTAAAAAGAAAAACAGAAAAATAATATTTAAGTGGGGCCCATACAACAGAGATGATTTTCGGTAAAAATTTCTTGCCGTTTTTATAGATATTGGTACGGAACCCTTCGTGCTTGAGTCCGACTTGCACTTGGCCGGTTTCTTCTACAATTGTGTTCATCATGCAATTAATACAATTATATACAACATGTTTCAGCTCAAGTGCAGAGCTTAGAAAATTTTAATTATAAAAAACAAATTATCTAATCTATGCAGTCCTGAGGAATAGTACTTTCGGTAAATGTGTAAAATGGCGTAAGTCAATTAAAATAAATTTTAAACTACTACATTCAAATAATAAGGTAATATTTGAATATAATGTTTTTTGTAAGTGGTAATAATAATTTACCTTTTTATTAAGAAATTCTTGTACAGTAGGCATCTTATACTTTTTCATTTTGGTTTTAAATTAAAATAAAAAAAGATATTAAAACAGAAATTTTAATAAATTTACACTAAACAGAAATTTTGACAGATTTACTTATTTGACGAGTGAAGTATCTTTTAAAAATATGTTTATTGCCAGCATACATGATATAATAAATTTCTTATCCATTTTAAATTACTTTTTTGTAATTATTCTTGCATGAAATTTTTTTCCATTTTTTTTGACGATTTGACGACCCGAGTGGCGTAGTGGTTAGTGTACCTGCCTCCTGTGCCAGAGGGTGTGGGTTCGATTCCCACTACTGGAAAAATATTGTGTGATGAACATAGTGTTTTCTAGTGTCTGGGTGTTTACATATCTATAATATGTATTTATTTACAAAAGAAAAGTATGTTTAAGTATGTTTAAGTATGTTAATCAGTTTTCTAGTACCCATAGTACAAGCGTTGCTTAGTTTGGGACTAGAAAATATTGTGTAAAAATGTGTCCTAAAATATTTTATTTTATTTTCATCATCATTTCAGGCAGTGAGTCCACTGCTGAACATAGGCCTTCCCCATAGGCTGCCACGAAGCACGATCCTGAGCAACCTGCATCCATTGATTTCCCGCATTTGCACGGGTATGCAGGTTTGCAGGTTTCACGTACCTCAGAGGATTAGCAAGCTGAAGTGGCGATGGGCCGGCCATATAGCTTGTAGAATTGATAACCGTTGGGGAAGAAAGGTTCTAGAATGGCAGCCTCATACTGGCCACCACAGTGTAGGACGACTCCCACTAGATGGTACTACTCATTCAAACATAATAGTTCCAAGCATGCGCATGCACTCCGTACATGCAGAAAAGTTTTGCGTACTCTATTGTCCCATACAAGCCTAAAAAGACTGAAACCTGCGAGTCACAGAAAAGTTACCATTTTTTTTTTCAGTTAAACAAAAACTTAAGATCTCATAGCCTTATAAGTTATATTGATACATCATTTAACACGGGAACTAAAAATATTTTAATAGCAATAAACATTTAATAATGATTTTTCATTTTTATTTCACATTTATAGCAGTAATTTAATATATAATTATAAATAAAATAAATTCATAAATCTTTTAACTGTAAATTTTTGGTCTTTTCAAGGATATTTTTATAAGGTGGGTCAATGGGTCCTTGCACAGGTTCTTTGTACTCATATGTTGTATGGCCATCCAACAACAATGGGTATGAGGTGTCAGAATCATAAGCACTCAAATCACCACAAACATTAAAAGGCACTATGAATCTATTTGGTCCTGTTAGTTGGTTAAAGTCACAATATTGATGGTCCAAAAGTGGATTAATCATAGTTGGCAAATATCCTTCAGGTGGCTCATAGTTTTGACAGACAACAAATGCTTCAATGCTGGAATTTCTTGAACTTCTGGGTTTAGTTACTGTCACCAATTCAAAGAATTGCTTTAACTGTGAGTACAAAAGGGTAACATCTTTTCCTCTAAATATTTTGGCAACAAATACACCACCATTTTTTAACACGTGTGTTGTTATATTTAATGCTGCAAGAAGAAGCTGGGACTGAACATATTCATCTATATCGTGCAAACCTGTTACATCTGGGGCACCATCACAAACAACAAGGTCAGCTTGTGAGCCTTCAAATTCCCTGATAATTTCGTGAGCTGTACTCAATTTTGTTATGTCACCTTGTATTTGCTTTACTCCGGGAAGAGCAGCCATGGCTTGCAAATCGACGGCTACAATTTTAACTTCATCAACATTCGTAGTATTTTCTTTCAACTTTTTAGTCAAAACTTGACTCCAGCTACCAGGAGCTGCACAAAGATCAACCGCTCGCAACACACCGTTAAAAATATCATATTCTTCATTAATTTGTAATAATTTAAATGCACTTCTAGCCCGCCATCCTTCTTCTTTTGCTAATCTGTAATATATATCTCTCTTATCTTTAGAAGTTTTACCCATACTTAATATTTTAATCTTACTGCCTTTATTTCCTCTAATGCTATAAAAAAATAATATTAATTGTATATCACAAAAATAATATACACATAACCTGAATGGAAACACTAACTAAACAGCAGATTTCAGATCAAAGAGTACTTTTAAACTTTTAGATATCTGAAAGTGAAACTACTACTGAGCTACTGACATAAACACCCAGGGTTGGATTTAGGTATTATGCATTAAACGTAGTTATTACATTCTCTTTGGTATTATGAAAAAGATAGTACCAAAAAATTTTAAAGGGTAGGACAAAAATGATGGTACAATTTATAATTTTTATTTTGCCAAGCATTAATTTACTCTTCTTGCAAATTTATAAATTCTTCAATAATAATTTTATCCTTAGAACTTAATCTCGCTAACGTATCCACACACATTTCAGTATATATTAGAGTACTCTGTGATCCACACTAGTAGGGATGTCGAAAATATACCCATATTTTTTGAAAAATATATCGATATTTTTGTCCGATATATTTTGATTCGATATAAATAATTGAATATCGAAATCGTATCGAAAACGATATTTTTATTCAAACTGATTCAAAGTCGTAAAAGATAAAAATTAACGAAAAAACACTGTGGCCTATTACTAGTATTGTCGCGGATGCAGAATTGAATTTGGTACTACATTTATGGTATTTATACTACAATTTGAAGCTTCGTACTTTATACTATCCTTACCTTAGGTACAACATGGTATAGAGGTGTTTGTTACAAATCATTAATATTGAACAAATGAATAAAATATTAGTGGCATTAACTAAAGTTACTTTAATTTAATATGTAAATGAAGTTAATAAAAAATTTATTGTAATCAATTTTTTTTTAATTTATTCAATACTAAGGGTGGTAGAGCCACGCAGCAGCCTCGGCTGTTGCACGAATGGGCAGGCTCGTCCGGGTAAGTACCACGACTTCACAGAAGACCGGCGTAAAGTGGAAGTATGACAAATACTTTCGCGTTTCGTCTGGTGAGTGAGGTAGCCGGAGCCCAATTTCCAAAAAAGTTGTCAACGCGTCTGCAAACCCTCGGGTGTAGCAGATGTCTATGGGCGGCGGTATTCACTTAACATCAGGTGGACCGTCTGCTCGTTTGGCAACTTTTCACATAAAAAAAAAAAAAAAAAATACTAGCACTTGACTGCCATCCCATTTCATGGTAAGTGGCGATGCAGCCGTTGATGGTAAGCACGCTAGCTCAGTAGAAACCTGTCACTCTTGCCTTGAAGACTTGCCTCCGTTGTATGAGGATGGAAAGACGGACGCCGGCAGGCTATTCCATTCCTTAGCTGTATGGATGATAAAATTTATCATTTCGAAATCCCTAAAAATCTGTGCAATTCCAACTTTTGTTAGCATCTTTGATAGCGTCACAACCAGTCACAACACAATGAAATAGCGTTGATGGATTATGTTTATTTCTTATTAGTTTAAGAAATAATAAATTTGTCGTACTATTAGACGAACGACGATTCTACGAACTCTATTACCTTCGCCATATTGCAAAATGAAAATTTACTCTTCAACAAGCTTAGTATCGAAAGAAAAAAAGTGTTTAACGGGAATAAATAAATAATAGTTCATTGATAAAGATTAGTTATACTCCGTGTTAATAATTGATAATGACACGTGTTTAAAACATTACAACGTTATACAACCCAAAGCTTTTTCAATGTTGGATTGGTATTTATTTTGGTTATTTTATTTATTATTGGTATTTATTTGGTGACCGTTATCATGGCTTTGAAATTTTAAATCAAGCGCCGTTTTATGTTTAGCGTCTTCAAATTCCATATATACAAAGTTAAGCCGATTTACATTGGTCAAGAACAGTGGCGAGTAGCGAGTACGAATACATTAGTCAGTAGCTGTATACACTGCAGCTAGTACAGTGGCATTTTTCTGCAGAAATGGACGAAGAAAGTTCTCTTGAATAACTGTTTAGACTGGGGCAAGTGACGATTTAAGTGCACCGCGGGGGTAGAGCGAGTTCGCAACAAAAAATAGAAAGCGATTCCATTTTGATCTAATTGCAAGAATACTTGCTAGCTTAGTTGACTCACTACTGTACGATAGTTTACACCACTGTACTTAGCTACTTTACTTGAACAATATTAATCGCTCTATACTCTCTGAAATATACAAAGTGAGTAAGTATGTTGAGAACAGTTTTGTGTTGTTGATTGTTGAATGTTGATGTTATCACTTGTCATTGACCATTGTCATGGTTTTTGTTTAATGAAATAATCCACCAGCCACCAGTATATTTATGTCTTATCTATGAATATGAAATAATCATAGATAAGACATATATACTGACAGTGACACTAAACAGCTCCACTTCACATTCCCACTTTCCATACAAAATAATTTTACCAGCTCATCACAGAGTACATTATGTATATTATATACTGATATACTGCAGCTCATGCTCAAAGTATGGCACTGTCACACTCACACCCCTGGAAATAATGATGTGATTGGTTTTGTTCACAGAATATTTAGATCTACATTTGTATGATGAAAACTGATTTTGTTTTTAATTTAAATAATAGGCGATACTTAACAGTTTTAAACTAAACGTGTATTTGGTTATGTCGTTTACACAACCTGAACATGCTTAAATCATAAAGTACCGACTGTAATAATTTAATGTAGGTTATATGCAGACTTACTTCGACTGCAGAGGGCACAAAACAGTTTCATTGATTACCGACTACCGTTATCCAAACAGTATGTAAACGCTAACCGCTACGTATTCCCTGCCTTTCTTAAATTCTCCATTCAGTCGGTCAGTTTACTTGCGAGTTGCGTGATTCAACTGTTGTAGTACGTAATGATATAAATGTGTCTGCAGAATCTTTAAACTCGATTGATCCGGCTTTAAGTGATCTCAAAATGGATTTACTCAATTCGACAATGCTACTCAACGCTTTAGAGAATTGGAAACTGTTGTTATTCTTCCTGGGAATATATGGTTTTTATTTTTATGCTACACGTACTTTCGACTTTTTTGAAAAAAAAGGAATCAGCTGTATGAAACCTACGTTCTTTGTTGGTAGTGTTTGGAAACGTGTTTCTAAAGAGATGTCATTTCATGATTTTCAATTATATGTATACAAATACTTTAAAGGAAAACCTTATGGTGGTGAGTTTACTTCAAATACGTTTTTACAAAGAAAAATAAATTATAATCTTTCATTAAAAAAGGAGACCTACATGAACATATTTTGTTTTATATATGTAATATTCAATAAATTTTGTTTTAATAAATATCTCGCGTTTCAGGTATTTTCGAAGGACGTAGACCAACTCTTTATATTTTTGACCCTGACCTCCTGAAAGCTATAACAGTTCGCGATTTTGAACATTTTATTGATAGGAATTCTATTAACAGTAATGAGCCGAGATATCTAAAACGGTCACTACTCAATTTGAAGGTAATTAAACAATAAGAATTACCATACACAATTATTTACATTGCCTATAGCTTAAGATCATAGTAATACTACCATTTTTTATTATTAAAGGGATCAGAATGGAAAATTGTTCGAAGCACCATAACACCAGCTTTCAGTTCTGCCCGATTGAAAAACATGTTGCCACTTATTCAGCAAAGTTCTAACGAAATGGTTAAATTTTTACAACAATATGGTGAGTTTAATTCAAATCTGTTTATATATAGGACTTATGAATATAGGCTCAATTCTTAATCTTTTAAATATAAGACTTAATATAGGAGTTTTTCTTTTATTTTGTTAGGGTCAATAAGACTTTAATAAAAAGTGTTAATTTAAGTTCTGAGTAAATAATAAAAAAGTTATACTTTAAAAAAATTTTTCTTCATCCTAATATCTATTTACACTTTGTCTTATAAATTTATAATTGTGTTAAGATAAAACAATTAACATACAATGTAGTGAATCAAAATAATTATGAAAATGGATTAAAACAGAAAATACTTAAAGATTTCATCAGAATAATTATTTCCACAAAAAAATGTAGGTGTGTAAACAATTTTGACTACTTATATATGTATTGTTACACAATTCAAAAAATTGCAAAAAAAAGAAATTTATAATTTTATAAGTTAATGGTATTTTTAGATAAATCTGATGTTGAGATGAAGGATCTAGTGGGGCACTTAACACTAGAAGTTATTGGTGCATGTGCTTTTGGAATCAAAACTGATGCATTAACTGATGAAAATGCTCATTTTGTAAAGGTAATTTAACAACATATGTCATATTCAAGAACCAAGCTGCCTATATTTTTAATAAAATACTTTTTAAATTTTGATTCTTTTAAAACTTTTTAAATATATATTTGTACAAATTTAGGTGGCTGAACAATTTGGTTATATATCACCATCAAGGAAAATACTTTTGCTGGTTTTTATCATGCTCTTTCCAAAATTAATGAAGTTCATTAATTTGTCCTTTGTGAACCCAGAAGTTGCCAATGAGCTAGTAAAAATTTTAAAAATTACCAAAGCGGAAAGGAGAAAGGCCGAGTCTAAGTAAGTACAAATACTTTTTGCTGTTTATTACATGGTTGTCAAATTATGACTATTTACAATTACATACAATATGATTCCCATTGAGAATATAACCTCTTTAGTTTCTAAGGTAATTTTTATTTATTTCGAATTTTAAAATATATGCAACTAGCTGATCCGGCAAAAGTTGTTTTCCCATTTAACGCCCCTGCAACACCACTTGTGGGTGGAATTTCGTAAAATAATCGTTCTTAGCTGACCGGCGAAAGGAATATTCCTACCAAACTTCAAGTCTCTACGCCTTATGGTTCCAGAGACATCGTGATGAGTCAATTATCCATGGAAATCTCTTATATATATAGACTAGCTGATCCGGCGAAAGAGTTTTTTCCCATATAAAATATTATTGTTAACGCCCCCGCAACACCACTTGTGGAATAATGCAAGCATGAGCACATGCGCGGTAATCAACGATCAGGGCCATGTCAAGTTCGTGGAATCTGCCTATCCCATGTTCACAGACTGAAAGTGATAACATCAGTCATGTGAATATAAAGATCTAAATTCCTAAAAATCAACTTTTTTCAATAAAATCAAATTTAATATAAAATGATGATGCCCACGATTGTCTATTCAATATATATATATCTTTTATAGTCTTAAATGGGGTAAATTCAAAGAGATCATCAAATATTTTCATGAAACAGTAACACTTAAAAATGGCTTTCAAATCTCTATATATAAAAATGTATCCCTGAATTTGTTGCTAAGCGCAAATCTTGAGAACTGCTGAACCGATTTCGCTAATTGGAAAGAACCTTATCGCGCGTTGTGAAAGGGGACTAGACGGCAAAAATTCTTACGAAAAGTTGTAACGACACTTTTGCTATAGTAAGGTAATATATATATACTAGCTGCTGCCCGCGACTACGTCTGCGTAGAGGGGTGAAAATTTAGGGTTGTATGTATTTTTGTATGCTGTGTCATAAAAAAAATAAAAACAAAAAAATTTGCCAAAAAAAAAAAAAAAAAATTAGGTGTGGACTACCCTTAACATTTAGGGGGATGAAAAATAGATGTTGGCCGATTCTCCACCCTGGCCGACAATCACGCTAAGGATCACAAAAATGGGTCAAGCCGTTTCGGAGGAGATCAAGTTCGAACCCCGTGACACGAGAATTTTATATATTAGATATATATAATCTTTTATACACGTCATAGATGCGCGGGACTTTGTAAACACAATAATCGAAAGGAACTTCGTTCTATCAGGGTGTCCCTTGACACCTCTCATTTTTCTTTTTTATAATATTCCTTGAAGTACGAGGATGGTTCTTATGGAGAGAAAAATTAAAAAAGTTGCCCGAAAAAGTCTAAAAACAACACTTTTCTATATTCCCATACAAAAGATTCGTAATAATACTTAAAAGTCAATTTGAACTTTAATACAATAACCTTAAAGTTTAAGTGGTAGTGGAGGGGTTCTGGGAAGGCAATGCAATTGAGTGACGTTAGTGTAATGTAAAAAATAAATATTAATGTCAATATTTGTCATTTTGTAATAATTTTTTAGTAGACAGAGGAAGGTTTATATGTATAATGGCACCATGGCACCCGTGCGAAGCCGGGGCGGGTCGCTGGTACTGTATAATTATGTTGATTGGACGATTGCATAAGAATTATGACTTCTTTGTACCTTTCACTTATGTAGAATGCATGAATTTGGTATTAAAAATCAGATGTTGATCAGATCAACTTTTCGTTTTTAAAATGCGATCGTACGACCTAATACGCGTAAAGGTTTGAAATACAAACAAATATCTCTATTTATCATGAAGATGCTAAAATTTCACCAAGTGTCGACCACAATCTTTACCATTGATCACGATGGACTTGTTAAAAGCCTTTTTTAGATATACTTATCGTATGAATAGAACACTATATGGTTACTTTTATATGTGCAGGAAAAGTGATTTCTTACAACTTCTAATTGAAGCGGCTGAGAAAGAAAAGCACGAAGCAGAAAAGACGGACGGAATTATACGTAAGTATTATTCGAACAAACGTGTAATAAATACTTTAAAATCCGTGAAATGTGTAGTATTCTTGTGAGGTTCTAGCAGAACGGTACTTTCCATTCCATTTGATCACAATAAGTAACGTGTGAAGTTTGTATTTTATATTAAATATTAATTATATTATTTTTGAATATTAAAGTTATATTAGCATCTTATATAAATAGTATTAGTGTTATATTTTTATATTTACCTAAATCACCGAGACCTGGTGTTTCGTAATAATGATCACTCCACGCCTAATTAAACCGCATATGCATATTCATGTTTTGATTTGAAGTTCTGTTATCCTTTGTTATTTTAACATTTCTTGTAGATGGTTTTGGTATTGTCAATAATTGATGGATATTATTATCTCGTTATATTAACGACATTATATTTGCACCACTTCGATAAGATAAGCACCGCCCGTTATCATTATACAATTAATTGACTGCATCGTATGCACAATGTATTTCTAACTACGTCGTTATTCTAATTGCGACTTAAACTTGTTTTGGTAACGTTCATGATAATACACATCTTAATAATGCAATTTAGATACTTGTAGGTCGTGTCAATTAGCGACCCGTCGTGTCGTTCCGGTTTCGACTTAGTGCAATTCAGTTTTTCCCGTTAATTTCTGTCCACGTGGTGATTAACACATACCTACCTGTATAAGATACAGCTATATTCATCCGGAATATTTTACTTTTTAAATGGGTTTTTCAATTAGGTATGTCCTACTGCACATGAACTCAAAAATACGCACTCATTCTTATTAAAGATTTGATTTTTTAAATTAAGATTTATTTAAAGACTTCGCTATTATTTGTTTCGCTTAGTTCTTTTTCAACATCACTTGTTATATTGAGCCGTTTTGTTTGATATAGTTAGGAAGAGATATATAAGAGATATTTTTGGGTAAATATATACATTTATTTTTTTAAATGGCGTTGACGGAGTAAAATGTCCAAAGCTCAGGAGTTATGGATTAAAAATAAAGAAATCAGCAAGTGTTTAAAATGGTTCGGGCTTCGGTGCTGGGAGTCGTGGGTTCGGTTCCCATAGGCGACAACTATTTGTGTGACCTACAAATAATTGTTTCGAATCTGGGTTTATCTCCTTAAAATTTATGTATGTAAAACGTTCTATGTTGTATGTAACAATTAATGTTATCCTACAGCAAGGAGAACTATGCTCCACGCATCGCAGCAGTTTAGTGTTGCACGAATGGGCAGGTCCGTCCGGGGAAGAACCACGACCTCGCAGATGCCCGGCGTGAAGCGGAAGTCTTTATACTTCTGCGTTTTGTCTGAGTGGGGAAGTCGGAGCCCACTTTATTAAAAGGTGGCAACTCATCTCGCATCTGCCTTACGGGTGTTGCAAATGTCCATGGGTGGCGGTTATCATAGGCTTAACATCAGGTGAACCGCCAGCTCGCTTGCCACCTTCTCACATAAAAAGAAGGGAAGACTACAATAGATCTTCTAGGTCGCAATGGTCGTTGAGACTTGCTACTCAGCCACACTAAATACAAATACGTATAAAATACGGAATTATAAATGGTGACCTTCTAATGTCAACGTGCGGATCCATAAATGAATTATTACTTTCAGATTTGGACGACGACACCATAGACGCACAATCATTTCTTTTCTTAATCGCTGGATACGAAACGTCGAGCACGTTATTGTCATTCGGTATTCATACGCTAGCAATTAATCCTGATATCCAGGAAAAGCTGCGAGAGCATATTCAAGAAGTTACAAACGGAAGGGAAGTTTCTTACGACCTGTTAACAGAGCTCACTTATCTTGAAGGATTCTTACTTGGTAGGTAATAACGCTTATTAAATTTAAATTAATATAATTTATCTTTAGATATTATTAGTATATAATATTTTTTTTAAAGTGATACGAGTTTTCTTCTATTTTCAACCTCTTTATCTCATTTTAGCGTCTTGGGATTTGTACTAAGTAGAGACACAGTTATAAATATTCAATTCAGTTGTTCAGTTTAATCTCTCCCAATATTATACGTTTGAAATGAAGGGCCACGCAACAGCCTTCGCTGTTGCACAAATGAGCAGACCCGTCGGGGAACTACCACGACCTCACAGAAGACTGCTGTGAAGTTGAAGTGTTATACTTCTGCGTTTGTCTGGTGAGTGAAGTAACCGAGGCCCACTTTATAAGGTGGCAACGCATCCTGAACCTTACAGGTGTTGCAAAAGTTCATAGGCTCCGGATATCACTTAACACCAGCTGAACCGCCAGCTCGCTTGCCACCTTCTCACATTAAAGAATCTATAAATCTTTATACTAAGAAATAAAATTATGTGTTACAATTTTAGAAACATTACGCTTGCATCCGCCACTCGGTAGGGTTGAGAGAACATGCACAAAGGATTATATCTTGCCCGGAACTAATATTACCATTAATGTCGGCGACGTCATCGGCATTCCTATTTATGGTATGCATATGGACCCCGACATATATCCTGACCCACACGAGTTCAGACCAGAACGATTTATGGGAGATGAGAAAAAGAACAGACCCTCACACTTATATTTGGCTTTTGGTGCTGGACCAAGGAACTGCATAGGTAAATAAAAATTTGATCCGAAATAATTTATCACATCCCTCACTTAGGGTAGCATATTTCTGTTTAATTTTTGGAAGATCTTGTGTACTGAGTTTTATTAAAAGAAAGCCATATTTATTTTCTTTAAAATGTTATTTCAGGTATGCGTTTCGCAATGGTCTCTGCGAAAATAGCTATGGTGTCACTGTTGCAAAACTTTAAATTTTCTGCCTGTTCAAAAACTGAAAATCCCGTAAGAATAGACAAATCATCGATGTTACTGAAACCTGCATCTGGCTTATGGGTGAAAATAGAAAAACTGTAAAAGTGTTTGATTTGTATACAGCGTGTCGTTACCGCCGCGACAATAAATGAACACACATATAGAGAACAACTTTTTAAAATTGTATTAAACATTTACATTCCTTAAACATCAATATTTACTGAGTTATTAAATTTTCCAAAACAAACAATTTTGGAACACCCTTACGTATAAAACTGTAACGTAAAGTTTATTTGTAAAGGTCACAAAGCATATGAATGGGTTGAATGAATTTAAAAGAGACAAATAATACTGTTAGAAGGAGAGGCGTGTAATGCGACGCTGTGGCAACGAATGAAAAAGTCAAGAATGTATGAATCAGTCAGTTGTACTTGTACAGGATGTTACAAATTTTATTCTTTTTTATTTAACTAGTTTGTTTGAAAAATATTATTTTATATGTTTATATTTTTTATGATTATTGGCAAGTAACGTTAGACGTGTGTTCATTTATTGTCGCGATGGTAACGACACGCTGTATACATAAATAAATTTATTTTAATAATTTATGCTGCTCTTGTTCTTTTTATCAATTATGCAATAATAATTGTACATTGTTATTGTAAATGTTTTAACGAACTGTATTATGTTATGCAATGTGCGTAATATGTTTAAGTAAGATGATGATGATTAAGTAACATGAGTACAATCTAATGTGATAATAAAAGTATTTTTTATAAAAGTTGTGAGTTTGTAATTACTATGTATCAATTTTAATATGACTTCATATTTCTCAAAAACTTTATTTATTTATTTATTTGATACCCCAACGAAATGGACACTGAAAAAATTTAAGTGTACACTAATTATACGGAAAAACATGTTAAGTGCCACCTCAATTATAGGTGTATACGACATTTCAATTAAATGTGGTATTTGCATGAGAAACAGGATTATTTAAGCATTGAAAAAACAACGATTAAACTAATACAATTCAAATCAATCCAAAAAAAAAAACAATTTATTACATTATACACATATGAAGGTGAAATCGAAAATGTTATAATAAACATAGGAGTAAAAGTAAACGTCTGTGAAATATTTTGATTACATAATAAATTAATAACATTGGAACAAACAATATTAAAATTTTGACAATAATAAATTTTTAACAACAGTCGATATAAAAAGATATAAATTTAAACTAAGCATTTCGCAATATTTTTCTTAAATACATATAAACTGTTTGCAAATATATCGATGGCTGCTGTTTTAGCATTCATTATCTTCTTACCAACGTGGTCAATTGGGTCAGCATCAATACATTTATTATGAACATCATTGTAACTTCTTGTTGTCCTATTTAATGGTGAGTGATGCCCCAAATTAGACCTTGCTCCCTTTTGTACAAATGGAACATATTTTAGTGATCTTGGCAATTTCATAGGTACACAAATAGATAATTTAGACAGCAGATTAATTGTGTCTGTGTGACCGTTGATTAGTTTAAACAGAAACATAATATCAATGAATTTTCTACGGACAAAGAGAGATTTGAGTTTAAATGGTCCAAACAAACGATCTTCATAGCTTTTCAGCGTTTTAGCTAAATTACAAGTAAATGTTAGGTGCCACAAGAATCTCTTTTGCACGTTCTCAATGCGTTTGACATAAATATCATAGTGTGGGTTCCACACAACACTGCAGTATTCCAGGCTGCTACGCAACAGAGCGGTGTATATTGCAATTTTTGTCATAGGGTTCCTAAATTCCTTACAGTTACGCAGCACAAATCCTAAAGTCTTTAATCCTTTTTTAACTATGTTTTCTATATGTTTATGCAGTTTGCTATCGAGAGTTACGCCGAGATCACGAATGTTGTCAACCTTTTCCAGTAAAGTGCCATTCACACAGTACGTTCTAGGAAGCGAAACCTTTTTTCGGGTGAAGCGAACAACATAGCATTTGGTAGCGTTTAAGGCCATATCGTTGGACTTGCACCAAGATACTAGAGAGTCCAAATCTCTTTGTAACAATATTTCGTCGTCAGTTGAATTTGTTTTCCTGTAAAATTTTAGGTCGTCAGCAAACATTTATCCATATTTAAATGTAAGTTCTATGTGAAATTAACATTTTTACTGGTAATAGTAATATTTAATTAAGTTCTTAAATCAATAATGATTTATATACAAAAATATAATGTTAAATATTGTTTAACTTTTATTCATTCGTTAACCCAATATAAGTTAACCAGTTCCATCTTTAAAAGAAATAAAACGTTTTTTTAACAAAAAAAACCGACTTCGAAAAACTCTATTTGCACTAAGAAGTTTAAAATAATACTAAATCTTATTTAATTAAATCTTGAAAATCTAACCTATATAACCTTTTTTTTTTGTATCGGGGGGAAATCTTCGAAAGGTACCTTGTCAACTTACATGACAGGGTTATGTGGGGTTCTTACCCACTAAAACCCACTCGGTGGCCATCTTCCGTACATTTGGAGGGAGGCACGAGACGACTTCGTGCTGCTGCCCATCCGTGTCCATTTTAGTCGCCTTTTACGACAGGCAGGGGATACCTTATTTTATGAGCCCGGGACAGGGCTGAACCTATATAACCTAACTTCTGATTTTTTAGACGAATTACATACTTTGACATAATGTTAATTGAGCATACCATAATTCAAAAAAATAATAATATTTTATTTTGACAAGAAATAACCAGAAAATTTCAAATTCAAACATTTTTTTGTTTATCCCGTTAAGAATGGTCACCCAGGAGGTGGCCTGGCGCACGAGGCGCCTAGCCTGAACCTCGGCGTACTATTATTACACGTCATGGTGACTAAGCTCGAGGGCTCCTGGGGGAGCCTCGGCTCGGGCCGTCACGCTATTATTATTACCGGTTTGGGCGGCCGCCAAGCTCTTAGGGCGCTTTGGCGGGCGCTCCATGGAGTGATCAGGCTCAAGGGTCCCCGAGAGGGGACCTCGGCTTGGGCTGTCACTCAACACGAGTTTAACATTCCGATTAGAGGGTGCCCGAGAGGGCCGGACCTCGGCTCGATCGGTAGCTATTATCTGACTGGGCGAAAATCAAGAAAATTACGATAATAGTCTTTGTTTAATTCGCACTGTTTTGGTTATAAGTTTATTTACAATGATGAATTTCTTTGCGAACGTCAAGGAATACTGCTGATAGGAGATTTTGCCGATTGAGTTGCAGTGCAGGCGTACAGAAATCTTGTAAACGCTGCTTTCGCGACTTTTACGATACTGCACAAGTGTAGTGTCAATACATCTGCTTAACCTTTTCGAGTGTCCATACGTGATGTTATGTTGTGTGATTTCGCGATAGCGGGAGTCGCTGTTGATTTGCTGCGGTTTTTGAAGTTCCGATGTCTATCTCCGAAACTCATCATCAGATCTAAATAAAAGTAAAATTTTTTTAATGTGAAAAGTTGCCAAGTGAGCAGGTAGTTTATCTGATGTTAAGTGAATACCACCGCCCATGGACATCTGCTACACCCAAGGGATGCGTTGACAACCTTTTGAAAATTGGGCTCCGGCTACCTCATTCACCAGACGAAACGCGAAAGTATTTGTCATACTTCCACTTTACGCCGGTCTTCTGTGAGGTCGTGGTACCAACCCGGACGAGCCTGCCCCTTCGTGCAACAGCCGAGGCTGCTGCGTGGCCCTACCACTGTTACCGTTAAATGGGACCATTTAAGTGTAAATCCCTTAAGAACAAAATTTGAAATCCGTCTATATGCAACGTTCAACGTGGCGCCACCAACGCGACCATAAATCAACACATACAGAGGATAACTTATAAAAATTGTAATAAACATTTACATTCTTTAAACATCAATATTTACCGAGTTATAAATTTTCCAAAACAAATAACTTTAGAACGTATAAAACTGTAACGTAAAGTTCATTTGTAAAGGTCACAAATCGTATGAATGGGTTGAATTAATTTAAAAGAGATAAAACATACTATTAGAAGGAGTAACTTGTAATGCGACGTTCCGACAACGAATAACAAATTCTCTGAATGTATGAATCAGTCAGTTATAGTTGTATAGGATGTTAAATTTCTTTTCTTTTTCTCAATCCTGTCAATCTCCGGGTGGAAGTTACCTCCCTTTCTCTCCCCGCGGCCTCCTTCCGGGTGATGATGGTAAAACGTAAAAAATACATATTTTTTTAAACAACTGACATTTATTTCTCAACATAGCTTCTTTTGAAGGCCAAATACTTGTTCCAGCGAGATTCCAAATTTTTTCTCCAAAAAACATGTTCCGTTAGCGTTTTTGTTCGGTTGTCAATAAAACGTGGCACCCTTCATGCAGACAGCTTTGTCTTACCCAAATCTTCCTGCAGGATTTTATGTACTCGCTCAGTGGAGATGCCTGTGTTCTCAGCTTTTCACGCACCGTCACTCTCCGGTCGTCGAGTACAATATTATGGACTTCTTCAACAACATCCTCTGTAGTGACTTCTATTGGGCGACCAGAGCGTGGAGCATCAGATGTGCTTGACCGACCACGTTTAAAATCATTAATCCATTAAAATATGTAGAAAAAGTGCGAAAAGATTGTCGCCGCTGTGGGAATCGAACCCACGTCTTCGGCATTCGCAGCCTATGTAGAAGAATACGTCAAGATTTTCGTCGGTGTGGCAATCAGCCGTTTAGCTCAGTGGCTAGAGCGTCAGGCCATTATCATTAATCCAGTTATAAAAAGTGGTACGTTGGTGCCATGAACGGAATCAAGTTCCGTTTTTGTTGTGGCAGCACTGCAACCCTTCATAAAGAAATGTTTTATAACGGCACGACATTCAGATTTTTCCATAGTTGTTGAAAATTTACGAGTCCATTTAAAAGTTTAAAATTAGCGACAAATTGGCAAGGTACAAAAGCTCGAAGAGACCCGCCCCGAAATGCTCAACAGGCACAGAAAATAAGGAATTTAAAATCTAATTATTACGTGCGACAAAAATGGATTCTTTCTCATCCGCCATACTCACCAAAAACCTTACACCTACGATTACTTT